TGATCAGCTGTCTGATCCAGCTGTCTCTGCCTGTGCTTTGGCACACATTCAAGCTCTAGTGGATCTTTCCCTTCCTATATAAAGATGTACTCATAAGCCAGGTTTTCAGTACCTCTCTAGTAACCTTAGCCACCGTCATTCATAGACTCTCATATTCCACTTTTAATGTGATTCTGCTGATTACCAATGACTTAGTCTCCATGGTTCAAATTTTAAAGAGACCAAATATAATTAGCTCATCTCATTTCTTTTAGGTCAGTTGTCCACCTCTGTGCCTTCAGCAAGTAGAAGATCACATGACACAAATTGTAGTTCTTGATGCATAGAGGTCAGTTTTCTTAGGAGGGCTATGGAGAGGCTGCCAGAGGTTAGTCCCTTAGAAAATAAGTGTCATTAACACAAATAGAAAGTCCAAAGAGAAAATTGATTTTTAAAAGAAGATACTGGTATCTTGGGACATATTAAATTCAGGGGGCTAGCAAGACCTCCAGAAGGAAATAACAGGTACTTAGTCAAAACTGCAGACATGGGGCTCTGTATTTCTCAGCTAGTCTCATCTTCACATTGCCTAAGTATGAAGAATAAAACTTCTCTTTTTTGAGAAAATAAACTCCTCAAAACCCATTTATACATGAACAGAGCTGGAACCTCTAGGCCTGAAGCGTCTGAATCCAGTGGATTTTATGGCATATTTCAAGGAAAGGAAACAGTAGTCTGGCATCACCCAATCAGAAGAATAAAATAAACCCCAATTTAGATCATTTTGAAGAAGCTGATATAAGCCATCAAAGAATAGCTACTTCTGTAATAAATAACTACATTTAGCTTATCTGCCTTTCAGGATAGACTGCAGAAATATTATCTTTATGTAAGTCTGTTCCATGGTACAGTTTCAATTCAAAGAAGATTCTCACCCCTTTGGATTAAATCTTAAGACAATGGTGAATCGGATATATGAAGAATATATTCAAAAATAGAGTTTATTCACTAAATATATCAAAGAAGCCGCAGTCCTCAAACATCTGAGTTATTAATGACCTATTCTTGTGAACTCTAGTTTCCATCTACAACTGTAAAAAACTGTTGCTTAGCCTCACCAAGGCCCCACCTTTTTTGGCGGAAAGCTCACATAGCTTCTGCTGAGACCACAGTTGTGGGGTGGACCTCACCTAAATTTCCCCAGGAAATAGTGGTTTATTATTAGTATTAGTTCAGCCATATTATTGGCTTTTATAAGTCAGTTTAAGAATTTAGACACCATTAAGAAGTTAGGCATCATACTGGGTGTTATATATAGGGGATGAATCACTGATTATAGTACTATATGCTAACTAGGATGTAAATTAAAAATAATTAAAATTATAAAAGGACTTCACTGGAAAAACACAATTTTTTTTAATGTTTATCATTTTTGAGAGAGAGAGGGAGAGACAGAGAGCAAACCGGGAAGGGGCAGAGAGAGAGGGAGACACAAAATCAGAAGCAGGCTCCAGGCTCTGAGCTGTCAGCACAGAGCCTGATGCAGGGCTCAAACTCACAGACCGCGAGATCATGACGAGGTATATATAACCCAACTGACTGAGCCACCCAGGCGCCCCTGGAAAAAAAAAACCTTTATATTATCTGTGGCTCTGCTCCCTTCCAGGGGCACAGGCAGTGGAAATTGCCCATATGCAATTTTGTGTGTTCTGAAAAATGGTACAAATATGGTTTAAAATGATCATAAGAGGGGCACCTAGGCCCCTGGGTGGCTCCGTTGAGCGTCCGACTTCAGCTCAGGTCGTGGTCTCACAGTTCATGAGTTCAAGCCCTACGTCGGGCTCACTGCTGTCAGCACAGAGCCTGCTTCAATCCTCTGTCACCCTCTCTCTCTCTGTCCAGCACCCATTTGCACTCTCAAAAATAATAAAGAAAGAAAAACATTTAAAAATAAAAAAATAAAATAAATAAAATCATAAGCATGTTTAGGCTACTGAGATGAAACATATTCTGTTTAAAATTTTATAAAAAAAAAAAAAGTTAGGCATCATTTGTGAAGTTACTCCTGTGAGAAAATCTGTTCTAAATTCCAGACTTAACTGAAGCATTTTCAGCACAGTTCACATATGACTTCTGTGCACATTTAAAAGTGAGTAGACTGAGGGGCGCCTGGGTGGCTCAGTTAAGCATCCAACTTCGGCTGAGGTCATGATCTCACAGTTTGTGAGTTCGAGCCCTGCATCAGCCTCTGTGCTGACAGCTCGGAGCCTGGAGCCTGCTTCAGATTCTGTGTTTCCCTTTCTCTCTCTGCTCCTAGCCTGCTCATACTCTCTCTCTCTCTCTCAAAAATAAACATAAAAAACAAACAAACAAACAAAAAAAAAGAGTAGACTGAAATCCAAAGAGTAGTATATATTAACAAAGTTAGTTGATTCTTTACTCTTCTTTCATGTGTAATTCAGAGCTTCCTAATAAAGTGAAGGATAAACTAGAATCTAGCCTGCTTGTTGGAGATTAGCATGTGTAAAGAATGTTTTAATGCTGTAATGGAAAAGGCACAAGTAGAGGAGTGAGATACAAGGAGAAACAATATTCTGGTGCCCAGGAGCAGACAAAGACAGTCTGTGCACCTTGGTGAGCAGGCTTTTTACTGTAATTTGCAGGATTTACTCCCTACTTCTACATAAATTGATAATGGGAAACACAGATCATCATCTGTTTTAGATTATCTCCATTAAGCCCCTTTTACTGGCAGGTGATTATGAAATAGGTGTTTTGTTTTTGTTTTAGAGTGAAATCTTGCCTTTTACAACAACATGGATGGATCTAGAGGGTACAATGCTAAGTGAAATAAGTCAGAGAAAGACAAATACCATATAATTTCACTCATATCTGGAATTGAAGAAATGAATGAACAAAGAAACAAAAAAACCAGACTTAACTATAGAGACAAACTGATGGTTACCAGAGGGGAGGTGGGTGACATAGGTGAAAGGGATTAAGAGCACAGTTATCATGATGAGCAGTGAGTAATGTATAGAATTGTTGAATCACTATATTGTATACCTGTGTATAGAATTGTTCAATCACTGTGTTGTATACCTGAAACTAACATAATGCTGTATGTTAACTATAATTAAGATAAAAACTTGAAAAAAGACTACTGTACAAAATGAAGTTTGATGGTACGGTGACAATACCGTTTTAGGTGGTGTTCCCATAATAATTACGAAATTCCCATATCTAACCTGTATTTCATTTTTTTAATTTATTTTTTTTTTAATGTTTATTATTTTGAGAGACAGAGCAAGTGAGAGAGAGAGACCACTAGCCGGGAAGGGGCGGAGAGAGAGGGAGACAGAATATGAAGCAGGATCCAGGCCCTGAGCTCTTAGCACAGAGCCGGATGTGGGGCTTGAACTCACTGAGAGATCATGACCTGAGCCAAACTCAGATGGCAACCAACTGAGCCACCCAGGCATTCCTAACAAGTATTTCATTTTGTTAACTTTTCCTGTATAACTCAAACAAGTTTGTGATAAATTGGCAAACATGAATAAATTGGTGATAAATTTGTGATAAATGTGATAAATTGGCAAACAAGTTTGTGATAAATTGGCAAATATGAATAAGAAGAAAGCAAAATTACTTTTTTTTTAATGTTTATTTTTTAGAGAGCTTGTGAGCGAGGGAGGGGTGAGAGTGGGGGACAGAGAATCCAAAGTGGGCTCTGTGCTGACAGCAGACAGCCGATGTGGGGCTCAAACTCACCAACTGCGAGATCATGACCTGAGCTGAAGTCAAGACGCTTAACCAATCGAACCACCCAGGTGCCCCTACTTTTTTTTTTTTTTTTAATTTAAATTTTAGTTAACATGCAATGCAGTATTGGTTTCAGGAGTGGAATTCACTGATTCACCACTTCCATACAACACCCAGTGCTAGTCACAAGTGCTCTCCTTAATACCCATCTAGCCCATCTCCCACCCACCTCCCTCCATCAACCTTCAGTTCTCTATTGTTAAGAGTCTCTTGTGGTTTGTTTCCCTCTACTCTCCCTCCCCCTCAACTCCCCATATGTACATCTGTTTTGTTTCTTAAATTCTGCGTGTCAGTGAAGTAAAAAAAATGCAGGTTCGAAGGGGTACATTCACCCCAATGTTTATAGCAGCATTATCAACAATAGCCAAACTATGGAAAGAGCCCAGCTGATGAATGGATAAAGAAAATGTGGTATATATACAATGGAATATTACTTAACCATCAAAAAGAATGAAATCTTGGGCACCTGGGTGGCTCAGTTGTTAAGTGTCCGACTCTTGATTTTGGCTCAGGTCATTATCTCATGGTTCTTGGGATCAAGCCCTGTGTTAGACTCTGTGCTGACAGCACAGAACCTGCTTGGGATTCTCTCTCTCTCTCTCTCTCTCTGGCCCTACCCTGCTCGCATGCTCTCTCTCTCAAAATAAATAAACACTAAAAACAAAAGACAACAACAAAAAAAGAATGAAATCTTGCTGTTTTGTGGCATGAACTAGAAAATATGGTAAGTGATAAGTCAAGCAGAGCAAAATTACTTTTAATTTTACCACCTGGACATAAACATTGTGTAAGTTTTTTAAGATACTTCTTTATACATATGTATTTATATAACGTATATAAAATACCCCTTTTTTAACATAGCATGAACATATTTTCATATCAAAACATGTTTTAACTGCATTATATGTATAACTGTGCCATAAATTATTTACTCATTCTTCCATTAAGTCACATTGTAGAAAACATTTATCTCTGTGCACATCTCCTTCAGAAAAAATTTTTTTAAAGTGAAATTATGAGTTCGAAGATTTTGTGTATTTTTAAGGCTTCTGCTTTTTTAGAAAGAATGTAGCAGTTTATATTCCCTTATATTGAGTATCTAATTCCTCATCTCTAACATTTACTGTAAAGTTTTCTTTTTTCCCGTATATGACTCAAAACGTAACTTTGTTATTAAGTTTTATCATTTTGTTTTTCAGGAGATGATTTTTCTTTGATTCAACAAGAAATATTTATGGTTAAAGAATGTAAACATTGCAACATTGTTGCCTACTTTGGGAGCTATCTCAGGTAAAAAAAAAGACAACATCATCATCTGCTCTCCTTGAATTTTGTATTTCTTTACTACCACTCTCCCTGCCTTTCATGTAAATGCTATTATACATATAAAATTTTAAAGTTATATTGTCTGAAGTTCTAAAATTTCTCAGGTTTTCTTGTAGTCTCCCCTGTTATATTAATATTGACATCTCCATTTATGCATTTATACCTTATCTGACAATAAATATTATGAATGATTACAAGTGTTTTATCGCATAAAACTTATTCTAAACCATTTAAGATGGGAGCAAAACTGAAGTTACTCTGCTCTTCTGAATCTGGAAGAGAGACTGCCAGGGCAGTTTCCTGTTCCACCCTGTAATCCATTCTAAACCTTGGTGTGCTGAAGAGTGAAAGCCTTCAGGGTATTTCTTTCTTTTCTTTTTTTTTTTTTTTAATATAATTTATTGTAAGGGTATTTCAGTGATTGAGAATTACTAGCTAATATAATTTTCTTTCTCTTATTAGTCGAGAAAAACTGTGGATTTGTATGGAATACTGTGGTGGCGGATCACTTCAAGATATTTACCATGGTACTGTTCATTTGACTTTACGTTTTAAAAACAAACTTTGAGTTTAATGATTGTTGTTTTACATTTCTAGTTAACCAGGGATGTTGATGGGTACATATACCGTTTTTACATTGTTCTGTTCTGCTCCTGCAGTATTGCATAAAAGAAATCTAAACTTTATTTATTTATTTATTTTGGTTTTTTAGTAAATTTTCTGAAACCTGATCTGAGAAATCCAGAAGTTCTTATAGAGTCCAAATTTTGCTTTTTAGATGTAGTATCTAGGAAATCTTATGTGTGTCTAGGAAAGTATTTTATCTATATTTGAAACTGCCTCAATTTTTGTAAATAAGAATTGAATTACAAAAGTTAACTCTCACATAAAAGAAATTGTATATCTATCTTAGATATCACTTAACCTAACTAAGGAAACAACTAGGTTTAGTTGTTGATGTATTTTTGTATTAAAAATGTATAATTTTCATGGCACCTGGGTGGCTTAGCTGGTTTAGTGTCTAACCTCGGCTCAGGTCATGATTTCATGGTTCATGAGTTCAAGCCCTGCTTAGGGCTCTGTGCTGACAGCTCAGAACCTGGAGCCTGCTTTGGATTCTTTGTCTCCCTCTCTGTGGCCCTCCCCCACTTGTGCGTGTGCGCTCTCTCTCTCTTTCTCAGAAATAATAAAGGAATAAACTTTTTAAAAATATTGAAAAAATATATTTTCAAAAACTTGAAGTATTTTATTGAACATTCTGTTAATTTAGGCAGTTTTCTGAGTTGAATTAGATATTACCCATAACCATTTAGAAATAGTCTTTGTTTTGGCTCTACAATTTAGCTTCCAATTTGTTTTGTTTTTGACAGTTTCCTGATGTTTTAGTTAATGAGACTAAACACAGATCCTTATAAAACAATTTCTATTTTCTTTATTTAACTAAATATGGAATAGTAAAACTCCCATTGCAACTTTGTACTGTATAGTTTATTAAGAATTATCTGAAATATTTTCAAACATTTCTATGCTAAAAGCTTTATATGACAGCCTTATCAAATTTCAGTCATCCAGTTAACAAATACCACCATAGTAGATGTAAAAATAAGTGCTCTTCAGGTGTAAATAATATTTAAATAATTTAAATAATTTCAGGTGTAAATAATATTTAAATAATTTGTAGCTTGTAGAGCTCAGATTGTTAAAATATCAGTCAATTGGGGTGACTCAGTGGGTTGAGTGTCCACCCCTTGATTTTGGCTCAGATCATGATCTTACAGTTGCGAGATTGGGTCCCATATTGGGCTCTGTACTGAGTGTGGAGCCTGCTCAAGATTCTCTCTCTCCCTCTCCTTCTGCCCCTCCCTGCTTTCTAAATAAAAAAAAATAATAATAATTAAAAAATTAGTAGAGCAATGGTTAAATAAACTATGTTGCGCCTACAATATGGAGTACTGTGAAGCATTTAAAAAGATAAAGTAGCTCCGTTTATATCCACTAGCTGTATCTCCCCGAGGCCTCTTTTTAAATGGAAAAACTAGATCATGAAAGAATATGTATAGCATAACTGATAACACTTAGACATTTAAAAATGTAATTTTTTATATTCACATTACATATGAATGTTAACGCACAACAAAATGAAAAGATGTGTCCCAAATTGGTAAGTCATTACTTCTAGGGGAGAAATGGGACTCCTAAGTAAAATTTTGAATTATAATGAAAATGTACTGATGTATTATTTAATTATAAATTAATAAATATAATAATTACCTAATTCTGTCACAACAAATAACCCATGACCAAAAAAAAATAGTTGTGATTGATGTCTAAAGTCTGGATACTTTTTATTTAAAATAATTTTTAGCACCACATACATATTACAATTATATAAAATATTACAGAGTTTTTAAAACAAGAACAAATCCATTTTTTTACACACTAGTCATTTTCTTATGTATTATATCATGCTAGAATTATTGTTCTCTTATTTTACCATGTGTCTGATTTAAAAGAATTATTGGTATGGACACCTGGGTGGCTCAGTTGGTTGAGCATCCGACTTCAGCTCAGGTCATGATCTCGCAGTTTGTGGGTTCGAGCCCCGCATCGGGCTCTGTGCTGACAGCTCAGAGCCTAGAGCCTGCTTCAGATTCTGCGTCTCCTTCTCTCTCTGCCCCTCCCCCACCTGTGCTCTGTCTCCCTCTGTCTCTCAAAAATAAATAAATGAAAAAAAAATTATTGGTAGAAAACAACTCTGTGCCACTCAATTTAAAATTCTTTTCTGTGATTTTAGGAAGAATTATCATTTATATGAAAAGCTTTTATATAATGATTATCATTTTTATTCACACTGACAGAACAAGAGCTCAAGAATATGGATAAATAAACCTATATAGCTGGCATTGTTTTTACTACTTCCCCTTTTAAACTTAATGAATAATTTAAGACATTAATCTTACTTCTTGATATTTCTACTTTTCATTGCTAAACCTGGTATTTTTTTTAGTTAAATTGAATCTAAGAAGTGTCCATCCCTGTATATCGTATACTAGATAGCAGTAGAAATCAAGAACATATATACTTAAAATAAACTGTTAATAAGATGATGCCTTCCCTCTTTTATTACTATTCCATCAAGTTACTAGGAACCAAAATTTTATGTTCCTGAGTAGATGTAGAGAGCCAGTGATTAAAATAATACAGTAAAATATCTCTCTTGAGGAAGGATTATGTAAGTACCTGATTTGGTTTCACTGTCAGCAAACACCAGATTTCAGATATTCTCTCATGGTATTTGGTATTAGAAGGCATAATTCTGAAGTGTCTGGTTAGGTACTTACAGAAAGATCTTATATTTTGTAAGAGAGATCTGGTTGTCAGAAGTAACCTGGTTGCTTTTTAAATTCTTAGATAAGGTACTGGATCAAGCCTTCCTGTTTGAAAAATATAGGAAAGGATTATACTAAAGTAATATTTTGATCTTTATGTATATGATTCCTCTTGGTATATTTCAACAATTGATCTCTTATGGTTCTCCACTCTATATAACAATAATTAATTACATATGTTTATTTCTTTTCTTGGTTTTATTTTAGAGAAAATTTTCAGGATTAAGATCATGTCTGTTGTTTTCTATAGACTGTCCTATGGTGCCTACTACTGCACTTTGCAAGTAATGAATGCTTATATTTTCACAGACCAAAGTTGTTATGGAGTAAATCTTCTGTTTTTAAAGTACATTTTAAGGTTCTCAACTTTCCTTTTGTTTTGTTTCCTGATTATAAGAATAATGTGTGTTCATGGTGAGAAGCCATCCAATTATATACATAGAAGTTTTGTTAATACTTTGTCATTTTTTTAAAGATTACTTGTTTATTTTTGAGGGAGACAAAGACAGCGTCAGTGGGGGAAAGGACAGAGAGAAAGGGAGATAGAATCCCAAGCAGGCTCTGCGCTGTCAGCACAGAGCCCAACATGGGGCTTGATCCTACAAACACTGAGATCATGAGTTGAAAATCAAGAGTCGAACAGTGAACCAAGTGAGCCACCCAGGCGCCCCAATAGTTTGTCATTTTTAAGATGGACTGTTTGTAATGTGTTATTGACATGTGTAACTATGTGATCTCTCTTTTTTCCTAGTTACTGGGCCATTATCAGAATTGCAGATAGCCTATGTATGCAGAGAAACTTTACAGGTACTACATTTGCTTATGTGGATAGAAAGGCAGTTCTAGTTTCACAGTTGAAAACTGCAAAATGATAATCCCAAAAGAAAAGAAAAGAGAAAATGGGCTCCTCATTTAGAAGATCAGCAAGTAGTAATTTTGTTCCTATCTTTTAAGGCATGTTAAATTAGGAATTAATTCGTGATTACATTTTTTATTTTGGTAATTTATAACTCAAATTGTTAATTGATGCTTCTATCCCTACATTTCCTAGATTGTGTAATTTGTTTAGAAATGAATTTGGTGTTCTATATGTTTTTCTTCTGTATTTTAGAAACTGGGAGATTGACTTGATTTAAGACAAAACTAGTCATTTCTAAGTATTGCTTTCCTCATGCTTTAGAAGGCATAGCATACCATGTCAAATCTGAATGTTAAATATATGAAACATATGAAACACACGAAAGTAAATTTTGCCAGTATATGTATGTATATATGAAATATATGAAAGTAAATTTGTCCAATATATATATGTATATTTCTGTAGTATTCCCATAACATGGAAATGTACTCTTTTGTGTTCACATAAAATACAAAACTAATCAGATACTCATAGCAGAGAATTACTGACAGATTGTTTTTTTGTGTGTTTTAATTTCCGAAGTTCATTGCTTTTTTTAAGTAACATATAGTGGAATATTATTCAATCATAAAAAGGAAGGAAATCCTGTCATTTGTGACAACATATTTGAAGCTGGAGGACATTATACTAAGTAAAATAAGCCGGGACATAAAGACAAAATACTGCATGAGTCACTTATATGTAGAATCTAAAACAGTTGAACTCATAGATGCAGAGAGTGGAATGATGGTTACCAGAGTTTGAGGCCCGGGGGTAGAAATGAGGAGATATTGGTCAGAGTATAAAATTACAGTCATATAGATTGACTGATTATTAATGTATAGCATGATAACTACAGTTAATGCTGTATTGAATATTGGAAATATGTTAAGAGAGTAAATTTCAGGTGCTCTTGTTATAAAAAAAAATAGTAACTATGAAGAGATGATATGTTAACTAGCTTGATTCAGATAATCATTTCATTATGTATATGTGTATCAAATCATGTTGTACACCTTAATATATAAAATTTTTATTAAATAAAGTTTTTTTAAAAAATAAAAAGGGCAGAGATTGTCAGAATGGAAAAAAGTAAAACCCCACTAGATGCCGCCTGTAAGAAATGTGCTTTTATAAAAACACAAATAGGTCAGAAGTAAAAGAAAAGAAAAACGTACGTCATACTATTGAAAAGAAAGCTGAAATGGCCATATTAATATCAGACAAAGTAGACTTCAGAGCAAAGACTATTACCTCTTTAAGGCCACTTCATAAAAAGCATAACAACCCTAAATGTTTAAGCCACTGATAACACAGCTTCAAAATAAATGAGCAAAAACTGATAGAACTTCCAGGAAAATAGACAAATCCACAGTTATAGTCACCTATACCCCTCTCACAATAATTTTGAAGAGCAAATAGGCAGAAAATCAGTAAGGATGCAGAAGACTTGAACAGTACAACCAGTTTGACCTGACATTTTAGTCTGACCAGTAGTGTGATACATATGCTCTTCAAGTGGGCATAGAGCATTTATAAGAGAGACCATATTTGGGGTGATAAAATATGTTTCAATACATTGTATAGGATTTAAGTCATACAAAGCATATTCTCTGACCACACTGCAATTAAATTAAAAGTCAACAGAAATATTTCTGGAATATCTCCAAATATGTGGAAACTAAAGCACTAAACTAAGTTAAGTAACCCATGAGTCAAAGAAGAAATCAGGAGAGAAACTAAAAAGTATTTTGAACCAAATGAAATGAAAACAACACATCAAAATTTTGGGGTGTTACTACAGCAATACTTAGAAGGAAGTTTATAGCACTGAACATCTCTATTAGAAAGAAAAAAAGGTCTGAAATCAGTATCTTCAGCCTCCATCTTAAGAAATTTTTAAAAAATGAGCAAATTAAATCCAAAGTAGGCAGAGGAAGGAAATAATAAAGATCAGAGTGGAAATCAATGAAATAGCAGAAAAATGAGAAAATCAATAAAACCAAAATCTGACCCTTTGAGAAGATCACTAAAATTGATAAACCTCTAAGAGAAAACACAGTTACCAGTGTTAGGACTGAATATAAAGATACTACAACAGAATCTATAAATTTTGAAAGAAAAGGACATTCAGTTCCCAGAGAACATTATGAATAGCTTTCTGTCAATAAGGCCTACAACTTGGAAAATATGAACAATTTCCTTCAGAGAAATCAACTGAATAATTCTGTATATATTTTCACAAAGAAAACTCCAAGTCAGATAATGTGGATGGATAAATTCTACCAAACATTTAAGGAAGAAATAATGCCAATTCTACACAAACTCTTCTAGAAAATTGAAGAGTAAAGGGTGCCTGGGTGGCTCAGTTGGTTGAGCGTCCGACTTCAGCTCAGGTCATGATCTCATGGTTTGTGGGTTCGAGCCCCACGTCGGTATCTTTGCTGACAGTTCAGAGCCTGGAGCCTGCTTCAGATTCTGTGTCTCCCTCTCTCTCTGCCCCCCCCCAACTTGTGCTCTGCCTCTCAAAAATGAATAAATGTTAAAAAATTTTTAAAGAAAAGAAAATTGAAGAGTAGAGAATACCTCCCAAATCATTTTATGGGCCACCATTGCTCCAAAATAAAACCGGGTAATACTGCAAGAGAACAAAACTACAGACTAATAATATCCTTCATAAACACAGATGCAAAACTTTAAAAGGAAAATAAAAGATTAGCAAAGGTAATCCAACAATATATTTTAAAAGATAACACATCATGAAGTGAGGTTTATCCTAAAGTGCAACTATGATTTAGCATTCAAAAATCACTTCAAGTAATTAACCATAGTAGCAAACAGAATTAGAAAACCACATGGTCATCTTAAGTAGACACGGAAAAAACATTTGGCAAAATCCAGCATTCGTTCCTGATAAAGATTCTGAGCATACTAGGAACAGAAAGGAACTTGTTCAACCTGATAAAGAACACCTATGAAAAACCTACAACTAAATCATACTTAATGGTAAAGGACCAGATGCTTTCCCACCAAGATCAAACAGTGCAAAGATGCCTGCTCTCCTTCTTTTCAACATTGTATTAGAGGTTTCAGTTAGTGCAGTAAGACAAAAATGAAATAAAAGATATCCAGATTAGAAAGTAAGAAGTAAAACTGTCTTTATTCACAGACCACACAATCATGTGTGTAAAAAATGGAATAGAATCTACAAAGTAGCTTCTAGAACTAATAAGTGAGGCTAGAAAGCTTGCAGGATGCAAGATCCATGTACAAGATCAATTGGATTTCCATACACTGACTACATTCAGAACTTTAAAAAATAATACCAACATTAACAAAAATATGACATTCTTAAGGGAATGTATGCGACAAAAGATACATAAACCCCTGCATACTAAAAACTGAAACTGCTAAGAAAAATTAAGACCTAAGTAAATGGAGAGCTATAACATATTCATGGATGTGGAGACTCACAGTAGTTGAGATGTCAGCTCTCCCCAGGTTGACCCATAGATTCAGTGCAGTCCTGAGGCTCTTGGCTATCTTAGTCAGTTGAGCATCTGACTCTTGATTTCCACTCAGGTCATGATCCCAGGGATGTGGGATCAAGCCCTGTGTCGGGCTCCACACTGATCATGGAACCTGCTTAAGATTCTCTCTTTCTCCTACTGTCCCTCTCCCCTGCTCATGTTCCCTCTCCCTAAAATAAAAATTAAAAATTAAAAAAAAGACTTAGGAAACTATAGTAATCAAAACATAATGGTATAGGTATAAGAATAAATAAGTACCTCAATGGAACAGAAGGACCAGAAGTAAATCCTATATGGATGGCTGATTTTTAACAAAATCAAAAAGACAAATCTGTGAAAAAAGTATAGACTTTTCAATAAATAGTCTTGGAATAATTGGACATCCCTATGCCAACAAATGAACCTTAAGTCATACTTCATATCATATGTAAAAACCCAAAAGTAATCACAGACCTAAATATAAACCCTAGAACTAGAACTTCTAGAAGGAAACAGAAGAGAATTTTGCAGTCTCGAATTAAGCAAAGCACTTTTGGACATAACACAAAAGTTTGAATGAAAAACTTGGTAAATTAGACTTTATCAAGATGAAAAACTTCCATTTTTCTAGAGACACTTAAGAGAATGAAGAAACTGCAGACTAGAAGAAGGTAGTTGCAAAGTATATATCTGATCAAGAACTTGTATCCAGAGTCCATAAAGAACTCTCAAAATTCAGTAATAAAAAAAAATAAGAGCCTAATAAACAAATGGACAAAATATTTGAACAGACACTTCACCAAAGAATGGCCAAAATTAAAGACTGACCTTAAGAAGATTGATGAGAATATGGATTAACTGGAACTCTCATACACTGCTGGTTTCAATATAAAATGGTACAGCTGCTTTGGAAAACAGTTTGGCAGTTGCCTAAAAGTTTAAATTTATTAGTACCATACAATTCAGCCATTACACTCCTAGGTACCTGGAAGGAAAAAGTCATACTAGTACTTTTATATGAACCTTAAGAGCAACTTTATTTATAGATTTTTTTTTTTTCAACGTTTATTTATTTTTGGGACAGAGGGAGACAGAGCATGAACGGGGGAGGGGCAGAGAGAGAGGGAGACACAGAATCGGAAACAGGCTCCAGGCTCCGAGCCATCAGCCCAGAGCCCGACGCGGGGCTCGAACTCACAGACCGCGAGATCGTGACCTGGCTGAAGTCGGACGCTCAACCGACTGCGCCACCCAGGCGCCCCAAGAGCAACTTTATTTATAATAGCCGAATGCTTTAAACAACCCAACCATCCAAATGTCTATCAACAGATGGGTGTGTAAACAAATTCTTGTATAGCTGTACAATGGAAATAATAAAAATGAACTATTGATATACACATTAACAAGGAATCTCAAATTAATTATTGTGAATGAAAGAGACCAGACAAAAAAAGAATATACTGTGAAAGTCAGTTTATGTAAAAGTCTGGAAAATTTAAATCTGTAGTAATAGAAGGTAGGTCAGTATTTGTGTGTAGGAGGGACTCTGGAGTAATGGATATGTTCCTTATCTTGATTGTGGTTGTGGTGGTGTTGTAAAATGAATTCGAAATCTTAAAATACAGTAAAAAGAAACTGATTCGTAAAAAGAAACTCTTCTAGACTTTTCCCCCGCCTCTGAAGAAGACTTTTAGTTTTTCTTATTCAGTGAGAACTTAAATAGAAAATGTAGGCATTAAGTTTGCAGCTTTGCTAATGCATACTTTTTTTTTTTTTTTTAACTTCAGGGTCTTGCCTATTTGCATACTAAAGGCAAAATGCATAGAGATATCAAAGTAAGTTCATTTAATATACTTAAATAGATAATTTTTGAAGGAATTTTGTGATACTAATTTAATAGTATTTGTATTTTTGTTTTAGGGTGCAAATATTTTATTGACAGATCATGGTGATGTAAAATTAGGTATGTTATTTTAAGTCTCTCACATTTTTCCTAAAAATTTTAATAAAATTTTAAATGAGAATTAACATTATACAAGTTTAATATTCATATGAAGAACCACAATAATGTTCAAGTTTTGATCCAGTAATTTTACTCCTGAGACTCTGTTTAAAGGAACTTAATCCTAAAGATAAAAAAAATCTATATTCATAGGAGTATTGATTATACACTGTTTATATAGAAAGAAGTACAAACATAGGACTAGCAATAGAGAAACTGTTAAAACTGTAATAAATCCACTTATGGAACATTATTCAGTCATCAGAATTAACAGTTAAGGAGAATAAGAGTAGAATCCCTGAGGTGTTACTTAAATGACAAAAATGAACTATACGTATAATCAGTTTTTTATAACCATGTGAAACAACAATAAAAAAGTATAGAGAAAAAGCCTTTTTTAATGGCACCAAAATACTACCCTAGTTGTGTTAGAATAAAAGGCATCCACATGGGTGGTTTATTTATTTTTTTTACCTTTTTTTCCCTTAATTAAACTTCAGTATGCTTGTAGTAAATTTTTTTTATTAAACTATGTTCTTTATAAAGTATGTTTTATTCTAATAAAGTGCCAAAAAAATGATTTTCCTTTAATGAGCATGTTATAAACCAAGCAAGAAGAGATTTCGGGATTCAATTTATATATATTTCCCTGGCATCACTATCTGAATTATTAATAATGTCATGCCTAAGGGTGAAATTTAGAAATGTTGGTGACTTTATTGAAAGAACTAAAATTTTTGTCCAATTTTTTTCCCTACTAGCTGACTTTGGTGTGGCTGCAAAAATAACAGCTACCATTGCAAAGAGAAAATCTTTCATTGGCACCCCTTACTGGTAAGATACTATGATTGAATTTTGTGCATTTTCATTTCTTCACAGTTAGTGATCTGCATTGATACTTAGTAAGACAAATGATAATACAAGTCTGGAGATTTGCATGCTCCTTGATACTATCATACTTCTGATTGGGAACTTTGATACTCATTTTTATTCACCTTTCCCTGAGTTAAAGTGCTAATAATAATTCCTACTGTCTCTGGGATTTTGTACTAAGAAGACTCATAGGTATGAGATTTTTCAAAAGAAAGACTTTTATTATGATCTCTTATCATTTTGTTACCCTTTTGGTATTGATTCTGTTTTAATATAGGATTTCAATTTCTGGTTGTTTAAAATTCATGCATCCTACCATTAGTCTTTATCAGCTACCTTCCTTTTAACGCATCTTACCAAGTACTGACAAAACGATCTTTCTAAAGTGCTGCTTTCATCAATGAAGACAGATAATTGAAATATAATAAAAAACCTAGTAATAAACCTTAATATATAAAATAATTTAGTGAAATTATAAAAGATAACATTTAAAGTTTGTAAAAAAGCTTGGATTTTTTTAAATAGTGTTTGAATAATATATTATTTGGAAAGAAATTTAAAGTCACTCCGTACCTCATATCTAATGCCAAAATAAATTGTATATGGAAATAGTTCAATATAAAAGTGAAACCAAAAGAACTATCAGTAACTATCAGCTTTAAGAGTTAAGTAAGCCTTTCTTGGCACAAAAGCGTAAAACATTAAAGGGTAAAAGTGATAGATTTAACTACATGAAAATTTAAAATGTCTGCGTATCTACCAGCTTGAACAAAAGTGAAAGGCAAGTAACAAGTCAGGAAATATCCTCTAAAATATGTATGACAGACTAGGTTTTAATGTCTTTAATGTATAAGTTCTTAATAAAGTATTTCATTAGAAGCAGAGTTATTAAAATAATACATAGAAGATGTCATAAAATATGAAAATTGTTTCCCCTAACAATGACCAAAAATGTAAATTAAATAAGTAACACCATTATTGTCTTTCAAGTTGGAAAATATTTGGAATCATGGGTAAACCTATTACTATCACTAAATATTTGACAGTGAAAGTAGAAATTGATAGCATAATTTTGAAGGATAATTTGGCAATAATGTTTTCCCAGAAACCTTTAACTGTGCTTGTATTCTTTAGTCTTAATTCTGCTTGTAGTAATTTATCAGAGAGGCATAGAAATTATATGAAGAGCTTTATTACAATACTTTAAAGATTGAGGGGAAAGTATGCACGCACATGCAAAAGGAATTAGTTAAGGAAATTGTGTATGTTTATGCAAATCAGTGGAGTAAATTGCTGATATTAAAAATCCTGTTGTAGGGGCACCTGGGTGGCTGAGTCAGTTAAGCATCTGACTCTTGATCTCAGCTCAGGTCATGATCTCATGGTTCCTGAGTTTGAGCCCTGCATCAGGCTCAGCACTGACAGTGCAGAGCCTGCTTGGGATTCTCTCTCCCCTCTCTTTCTGCCCTTACCCACTCACACACACTTTCTCTCTCAAAATAAATAAATAAACCAAAAAAAAATTTTTTTTAATCCTATTGTAAAAGATGAATAGGCAATGGATAGGCTCATGATATACTATTATTCAAAAAAGCAAGATTAGGGCACCTGGGGCATCAAGGGACTCTTGATTTTAGCTCAGGTCATGATCTCGCAGTTTGTGAGATCTAGCCCCATGTCACAGGGCCTGCTTGGGATTCTCTCTCCCCCTCTCTCTGCCCCTTCCTTGCTTGTATGTGTGTGTTTCTCTCTCTCTCTCTCTCTCTCTCTCTCACACACACACACACACACACACAAATAGACTTTCAAAAAAGAAACAAGTAAGATTAAAAGTAGCATAATGTAATACCATGTTATAGAAGATATGTGTGTGAATAAAATTTATGGATGTAAATATGTGAAACAATGGCTCTCTTTGGGTGGGATAATGTTTGACATGTTTTCTTCCATGTAGGCCAAATTCTCTTTGTCAACACGTATCAATTTTAACAACAGGAAAAAAAAACAAAATAAATATCACTTAAATAAAAGTTAAAAGAAAAAAGACTAAGTTAGATTACTTATAGAATTTCCTTTATCACATGCCTGTTTCCTTCCTCAGTCTCTTTCTGTGACTTTCCTCCCCTGTGAACAGTCTTCTCTAGTCAAAATTTATGTTTTTTGTACCCTGACTATATCAGTTACTCTTTATTAGGTCCCTAGTATATTCATCTTCTCTGTTTATCTTGAGTCCTGCCCTGTCTTGGGAAAGCCTTTATCTCCCCTTCTATTCTGAATGACAGCCTTGCTGGATAAAGGATCCTTGGCTGCATACTTTTCCTATTCAGCACGTTGAATATTTCCTGCCACTCCCTTCTGGCCTGCCAAGTTTCAGTGGACAGGTCTGCTACTACCCTCATGTGTCTACCCTTGTAGGTGAAGGCCCGTTTGTCGCTAGCTGCTTTCAGAATTCTCTCCTTATCTTTGTATTTTGCCAGTTTCACTATGATAGGCCATGGTGTTGACCTGTTTTTAGTGACTCTGAAGGGAATTCTATGTCCCTTTTGGACTTGGATACCTGTTTCCTTCCCCAGATTAGGGAAGTTCTCAGCTATAATTTGTTCAAAAAAACCTTCTGCCCCTTTCTCTCTCTTCTTCTGGAACTCCTTTGTTACAGATATTATTTTGTTTCATTGAATCACTTAGCTCTCTAATTCTCCCCTCATGGTCTAGTAATTTCCTTTCCCTCTTTTTTTTAGCTTCATCATTTCCCATAATTTTATCTTCTGTTTCACTTATCTCTCTTCTGCTTCTTCCGTTCTCACTGTCACTGCATCTAGTTTATTTTGCATCTCATTGACAACATTTCTTAATTCATCATGACTATTTCTTAGGTCTTTGATCTCTGTAGCAATAGAGTCTCTCCTGTCTTCTATGCGTTTTTCAAGCCCAGCTATTAGTCTTATGACTGTTATTCTAAATTCTTGTTCAGATATATTGTTTATATCTGTTTTGAGCAATTCTCTGGCTGTCATTTCTTCCTGGATTTTCTTTTGAGGAGAATTCTTCCATTTTGTCATTTTGGCTCGTTTTCTGTCTTTTAGGTATTTTAATAGCTTGTTATGTGTCCTACACCTGCGAGTACTACTATATTAAAAAGGGATCATACACTGTGCAGGGCCTTTCACTTTAGAAAGTGTTTTTGTAGTATATTGTATGCACTCTGTTGCTGCATATTTGGCTGCTCTGTCCCACTGGACAGTCCTCTGCAAAGCTCCTCCTTGCTCATAAGGGTGGATTGTTTGAAACTTCCACCAAGTGTTCTTTGATTTGTTTGTTGAAGTAACCCTGTAAAAAGGGAAGGGCGGGGAACCTCATCCCATACAAAGAGAAAAATGAAAGGAGCAAAAAAAAAAGACCAAGTATAGAATCAAAGAAGCTATAAGGCTTAATCCAGAGAGAGAGAAAGAAAAATAAAGAAGGAGGTATAGAAAAGGTATTAAAAAAAATTGAGTAAAAAATAAAAAAGCCTGATTAAACAAACAAAACAGAGAAATATATATATGTATAAATAATTGACCAAAAATCAAATCAGAAACTATGAGCCTGATTCCAAAGGAAAAAAAAGAGAGTAAAAAGAAGAGAAAAGAGAAGGAAAAAAAAAAAAAGAGAGAGAAACAGACTAACATACAAAACTGTAGGTCTGTTGGTGCCTGGGACTGGTGGCAGTGCTGGTCAGGAGGTCTGGTTCCCTCAGTGTCAGTCCCCTTCCAGTACAAAAGCATTTGCCAGGCACGGAGTGGCAGGGTTTGTTGTAATTGGTCCCACCTCCAGTGGAGACTGCCGTGCTGTTTCCTGAAGCCCCACCATGTTGGTGATGGAGAAAAAAGTGGTGACACCCCAATCTTTCCTCCTCTGTCTGAGTGTCTCAAACTACTCTGTTCAGGCAGCCCTCACAGAATAGTGTGGGAATAGACTTGTCCTGCTCCACAGTCTCCCGGCCTCTTAGGCGCTCAGCTGGGATTCAAAACCAATGTCTTAAAGGAGCCTGCACCCCACCTCCCCGGGACCCCATTCTGGTGTACCGTGGTTCCACAGCCTTTCTCTCCCTTTTGTCTCTCCACAGAAGTGGTTCTCTCCCCTCCATGCCTACGCTCTTATCTCCCCCAATTTGCATACTTGCACCTCTGTCCTGCCAAGCTGTCTCCCTCCACCTGTGGAGATCTTCCTGTCACTCCTGCTATTGATTTCCTGGGTGTTCCAAGTGTTCTGACCTTAATACAGCTGTGTTTGAGGGATGAGAGAAATCCCTGTTCTCTACTTCTCCGCCATCTTAACTCTCCCTCAAGTCCTGCCCTGTCTTAAAAGTGTCACACGCTCTGCCTTTCTTCAGCTGTGGCAGACTGATTGATCACTCTCTGCCTTCCACTGAGCCAGGAAGTGTAACACTCTTGGTCAACTTGGTGCTCCAGTTGTCCACCCCTAACTGATTCTAGTGGGCAGAAGAGATAAAACGCATATGCTCTCTCTGGGTTCCAGCTCAACTTTCCTCTCTGAGACTTGCCTTTAGTCGTTTTGTTCCATAGTAATGATCATTTTCTTCTCTTTACTCCTATATCCATTTTTATGTATTTAGTACTTGCTTATAGCAGACATTTTTAGTATACATACTTTATGTTCTTCACCACCTTTAGGTTGAGTGATATTGTGTTATATAACTTTGTGTAATCCAAATACTTATAAAAACAGCTTCTGTGTGGATATTTAATATCAATATAAATTAATTTTAAAATAGTAAACATTAAAAAAAGAATATTTCCCCTTAGTAATATCTACACTTTATAACATCAATTGCCATTATTATAAACCACTGAACCCCAAACAGGTAACTCCAACTAAGCCACTAAGTTGACCTTTAATCTTAGATATATTCACAGTTGTTTGATAATAGCTCTACTTCAATATCCACAAGCATTTTATACTTATATCAGTCTTCAGTCAACCCCTTTCATTCAGTCCCCTCTGCCACTGCCTTTGAAAAGTCATTTATCATTTTTCCCTTGTATTTTTGAAATTGTCTTCCAACTCATTCACCTGACTTTGGTTTTAGCTCCTCTCATACTGTCCTTCCTGTTGCCATGAGTTTCAGAACAAGTTTATATCCAAAATTAAATCTTGTATTTTCACAATAAAATTTAACTTCATTGTATAATCAGTAGGGCATTTGTTACCTAGCTCCTATGTCTGAGGTTCATTTGGCAAATACTTTTTAAATCCTCTCAAACTTTTATAAAATAAATTCATCCCAGACTGAATTACTAAAAAGCGATCATGTATTTGGACAAGAGTTAATACTCTCCGTTTCTGTACTTATCATAGACTCCTAACAAGCAGCTTATGGCTCCATACCTGTCTGTAGGTCATACATTGAGTAGCATTGTCCTGTCACCTTTCCAGATGTTCCGTGCTCTTTTCCTGTCTCCCTGTATTTGCACTTGTTTCCTCTAACTAAAATGTTGAGGCTCCTCACTCACCTTACCTCCCTGCTGATTCATTCTCAAGTCTCACCTCCTTTGGGAGCATTTCTGACCTTCATGGGGATTTAGGTATTCTTTCTTTTCCCATATTATATGACAAGATTCACAAAACAGAAACTAAAGTAAGACAACCAAATTTTTCCTCAGAGCACTAGTCTTCAGAGAAGATGGAAGATTTTTAGGTGATGAGTTTGAAAAGAGTATATCTTTATACATGTGGTCTTTATTAAGTCTTTCCTAGTAAATGTCTCTCAGCCTCTTTCCCTCTAGAAGTTGAGTGAATATAACAAAAAAGAGCAGATTTCATATCATTTTTAAAAAATAAAAATGTTATATTCACTGATTCCTTCTAGGATGGCCCCAGAAGTTGCAGCAGTAGAAAAGAATGGCGGCTACAACCAACTCTGTGATATCTGGGCAGTAGGAATAACAGCAATTGAACTTGGAGAGCTTCAACCACCTATGTTTGATCTCCATCCAATGAGGTGTTCTCACTATTTACAATTATGCAGTTATTAATGAAGTCTTTGGGGAGAATTAAATATTGATAACTTGAGTATTTCCAGCTCATTTTCAAGTATGTTGAAATAGTAAAGGTGTTGTAAAGGACTTAGGGGTAATCAGTTGCACCCAATATCTGCTCTCTTGTGTTGTTTCCTAAGACAACGTGGAGTGAATCATCTGTACTATTTAAAGCTGTTTCATTAAGCAAATCTCCCTTAATCATACTAGATATAGCAGTTATCATTTGTAAAGTTTTTTTAAGTCTTTACATTCTTCCATCAATCGTTTCTTTTTCTGTTCTAAGTGGAATTATGAGCAAATGATAGGATGTAGGTGACATTTTTTTTCTATTCTTTTTTTGATTTTTATTTTGTCTAGGGATAATTAAGAGGTAGTTACACTTAGTATAATTATTATTTACATTTTAGGGTATATTGTCTCTCAAAAAAATATTTGATGGCCTTTGAAAGTGCTTTTATATTTTGAAGTAAAAGATGAATTGAGCTAAAATTTAAGCTTTTAAAGTATAAAGTTGAAAACAGTATAAAGTTGAAAAGAAAATCAACAGAGTGCAGAAAGTATTCTTCTAGCAAGATAGACAATGGATTAGTATACGTGTATATATACATAAGGAATTTATTTAGAGACTCTGAAGGCAAAAGATAGACTGTTAATGAGCAAGTACCAAATACAAAGAAACTTGGAAAACTATTGGACTTCTCAAGTAACTAAAGATACAAAAGTTAAAAGATACCTACTTTTTGTTGGAATGCCATTATGTACAGACCTTTAGGATGTTACTTGTTAGGAGCAGTACAAATGTTTCTGTGATTCTACTACTTAGGAAATTATACTTAGGAAATAACCCAAGGGAAAAAAAAGCTAAGAATTATTCATTCCAGGTTAACAGTGGAAAAAAATCTGAGTGTCCAATAGTTGGTGAATTAATCTTTTTTCTTAATTTTTTAATGAATTGTTAAGCAAAAATTTTCAACAGTTAAAGGCAGCTGTTACATATGCATAAACCAAAGCAACATGGAAAATTGATTATTAGTGAAAAAACAATCTATTATTACCTAATTATTGGTTAGCATTTAGATAAAGACTAAAGAAGAGCAGATTTAAAAGAATGCCTCACAGTTGTAAGAATATAAACTTTATATATGAATCATTTCATCTTTAAAAAGATAAACATCTTTGGTATTTAAAACTGAGTTTGGGGGCGCCTGGGTGGCTCAGTTGATTAAGCGTCCAATTTGGTCTCAGGTCATAATCTCATAGTTTGTGAGTTCGAGCCCCACATCGGGCTCTGTGCTGACAGCTCGGAGTCTGGAGCCTGCTTCAGATTCTGTGTCTCCCTCTCTCTCTGCCCCTCCCCTGGTCGTGCTCTGTCTCTCTCTCCCTCAAAGATAAATAAAACATAAAAAAATAAAAATTTATTTAAAAAAGACGGGTTTGCTTGGAAACCTATAAAGGGTTTTGTTGGAAAAACTGAAATAGAGCATTTTAGAACTTTTCTTAAATCTTCCATCCTTCTACCCCCAGAGTCCCTAGAAAATGAGTCAAAGGTGAATTCATACTGAAAGAAAGTCCTCTTGCAGGTTGATTTCTGTATTATTCATAATGAGAGAATCTGGAAAGTTATTGTCCAAAAGAGGGGAACAGACTAGGAAGTAGATATAATTTGCTTGTATACCCAAGACAATTATAGAGGCAAATCTTCCACTAAGCATACAACCTAAGGTTAGAGTAACACATCATCTCTGTGTTATAGAATGGTATTTAATTACTATACATGCTTATATCTAAGATATAATATTAGTTATATATGTTAAAAGTATAGCGATAAAATTCTTCTCTAATATTTCGTAGCTTTGCCTTATGAATAAGAGCTTGTTTGAAAATGAAATATCTAGGTGATGGGCATTGAAGAGGGCATCTTTTGGGATGAGCACTGGGTGTTGTATGGAAACCAATTTGACAATAAATTTCATATATTAAAAAAATTAAAAATAAAAAATAAAAAAAAGAAAGAAAATGAAATATCTATTGGCTATCTAAAATATAAAAATTTAGTGTCCAGGGGCTCCTGTCTGGCTCAGTTTGTAGAGCATGAGACTCTTAATCTCGGGGCTGTGAATTTGAGCTTCATGTTGGGCATAGAGATAACATACATACATATGTACATACATAAAACTACATTATCAATAAACTTAATAAATAAGTAAAATCTTAAATTAATTTTCATATTCCATACCAGTGTTCATCAGTGTCTACGTATGTAGTAATTTGTAAATGGATTACAGAATATTCATTCTGATTATTAGATGAGGTAAATCAAAGTATTTCAATATTGCCCTTTAACTGAAATTTTTATTCCAGGGCCCTCTTCTTAATGTCAAAAAGTAATTTTCAGCCTCCAAAACTAAAGGACAAAACAAAATGGTAAGTTAATGAATATATAGATTTATAGAATTTTGTCGTTGGAAAGGAGATAGGTTCAGTTCTCTTATAAGTGATGAAACTGAATTGCAGCAATGTGGATGGAACTGGAAGGTATTATGCTAAGTGAAATAAGTCATTCAGAGAAAGACAGATACCATACATTTTCACTCATATGTGGAACTTGAGAAACTTAACAGAAGACCATGGGGGAAGGGAAGGGGAAAAAAAATAGTTACAGAGAGGGAGGGAGGCAAACCATAAGAGACTTTTTAAGTACAGAGAACAAACTGAGGGTTGATGGGGGAGGGTGGGGTGGAGAAGAGGGGAAAATGGGTGATGGGCATTGAGGAGGGCGCTTGTTGGGATGAGCACTGGGTGTTGTATGTAAGCGATGAACCTCAGGAATCTACCCCTAAAACCAAGAGCACACTGTACACACTCTATGTTAGCCAATTTGACAATAAATTATATTTTGGAAAAATGATGAAACTGAAGTCCAGAGCCTTTAAATAGTTCACTTGCAGTTACATATCTAATTTACTCACAGAGCTGTGGCCAGGATCTGGGTTATATTCTTGACAGTTCCAGTTGCTTAGGAGCTTAGAGTAACAAGGAATAAGAACAAGCCCATGTCCAAAAGATTTTTATCATCTTCTGCTCTGGTAAAACTCTGATCATTTTCTTAGTGTTTTGGAGGCTTGGGTAAGAGGTGTGGTGAGGAAAGGATTGGAAATGGGTATATTAAAAATTTGGAGATTTAGATCTTTGCCTTGCATTCTGTTACTTGTTAATTATATGTTAACTTTTATGGAAGGTGATATGAAAAGGTTTCCCAGATACCATGACACTTAATCACTGTTGATTTTTCTCTACCTTCCTTACCTAATATTCAAAATTTTACTATTTATTTTCATCCTAATCTCTTCTTTCTCTAAGTAAAGCAGTTTGCCTTTTCTTAAAGTCCATTAGGATATCTTTAATTGGATGATAAAAATTGAAAATTATTTTTCTGGTAATGTATTCCCATGCATTTAATAAAAGAAGCCATGCAAATAAAAGTTTCCAATCTTCATCTAGATTTCATGGATCTTTTGGTGTGGGAGGTACATGGGTTCCCCAAAATCTGTATGTATATTCTTCTAGGGAGACAGTCCATATCTTGTTTCATATTTTAAGAGACCTGTCCCCCAAACAGGGTCTGAACTACTGTTTTATGTTTTATTGACCTGTCTGTGCAAAGTATTACTTAGGAGCCAGGACATTCTGGAGATGATGCCAGGAGTGAAAGGAAAATCACACTGGAAATAAAGGAGTTTATATCCTACTGTGGCTGTATTCTTTTGTGTTGATAAGAGTTTCTTCCTGATTCTTGTTACCCTAAGTTCCTAAGCAATTGGAACTGGAGGGCTTTATGGCAGGAATGACTCAATATTCATTCAGGAATGAATGACCACAGGCTGTTACCATTGGAGTACTTTTGCCAATCTCAGGTACTCTGGTTCCACGTTATCTCCGCCACAAGCCACCAAATGTAATGCAGTGATTTGATTTCTCTGCAAGAGAGCTGCTGTGTGGATGCCCTTGTTCCTAAGAAATTCAGTGACCTTATAATGATTTAAATAATCTTTTACATTACCAATCCTACCTCCATGCCATTCTTCTGGTATAGGAAAACATTTATATATTTTATAAATTAAGCAGTGGGAAAAAGCCATTTTGATTCCTAAGTGGCACCTAGAATAAATACTAGATTTTAAATCCTATAATACCCATTTCTAGTTTTTTGTGTATTTTTTAGAGATGGTATGTTACTATTTCTTGTAACTAATTTCATTTTACTTAATAGATGAAACTGACACCTGTTTTCAAGGGGTATACTGTTCTTTGGGTCTTGTTTTTTGGCTTATATAGAGCTAAGAGGCCTAAGAAAAATCATGTGTTTCAGACTTTCTAACTGCTTATAAGTTAGTTTTATTTAGTAACATTAAAAAACTAATATTAGTGAAATATTTTTGTACATGTCTCTTTTTATTTGAAGGTCATCAACATTCCATAATTTTGTCAAAATAGCACTAACCAAAAACCCCAAGAAAAGACCAACTGCTGAAAGACTTCTGACTGTAAGTCATTGAAATTATAGGGGAATTTTCTGTAGTCAATGCAGTAAGTAGGCATATCACTCGAACAAAGTATTTAAGATTTTTAATATAAAAATTTAGTGATCTCTTACTGCAGGGGTCTGCAGACTTTTTGGGAAGAGCCAGGTAGTAAATGTCTTGGGCTTTGGGGCCATACAGTCTCTGTAGCAACTACTCAGTTTTGCCATTGAAGCACAAAAGCTACCAAAGACAGTACAATTGAATGGGCATGGCTTTTATACTCAAAACTTTATTCACAAAAAGAGGCAGTGCCCCAGGTTTTGCCCATGGGCTTTAGTTTGCCAACCCCTGCCTTAGAGAAAACTCTTAAAAATGTTGCTATCACCTAAAATTAATTGCCTTTTTTCGGTTTCTTATGTAAATATAGAATGTTCTGTGTATGTATGTATTTGTAAAATATTTTTAGAAAAAGTTCATGATTACAACAATTTAAGGAAACTTTATTTAAATATCAAAATTTAACTTTGTATTTTTACATTTACATAATGTTACTAAATTAAATGTATGCATATATGGAATACACATGCTTTTTTCTTATTATGATGTGATATTCACTTGCATATATATCACGATAGTGACATGAGTAATGAATGTCAGTTGTTATAGCCAAGGTTGCAATTTTGCAACCTAATATAGATAACTTAGAAAAATTATTCATGTTGGGGTGCCTGGCTGGCTCAGTGAGTAGAGGATGTGACTCACTCTTAATCTCAGGGTCATGAGTTCAAGCCCTATGTTGGGCATGGAACCTACTTGAAATTAAAAAAAAAAAATGATTCATGTCATAAACTTACTCCACAAGGGTGCTGCAGTTTTATAATATACAATTATGGTTTCTCTGATACTTTTACTAGTACGTTCTCTAATTTATTTGTATTAGTAGGCTTCCATATGCTTGTTTTTGATAGTTACTGAATGAAAAAGTACAAATAACATTTTCTACGAGCCATTGATGTAAAAGCATATTCATGAAGTTTTGTTTTGTTTTGTTTTGTTTTGTTTTGTTTTGTTTTGTTTTGTTTTGTTTTGTTTTGACTTAGCATACATTTGTAGGGCAGCCAGGTCTCTCTAGGGCCCTCGCAGTTGAACTGCTGGACAAAGTGAATAATCCAGACAACCATGCACACTACACTGAAGGAGATGATGATGACTTTGAGGTAAAGAGGTTTTCAGTCTAATATTTGAAAATAAATATTTAATATGGCCTTAATGTTTATTTTCTAATTTACTCTTTTTTAAGTTAGCTACAACAGATTTAGCTACAAAGATTAATTAGCAATGTAAACTAAACTTACCCTGCATATAATTACCAGGTAATACTTTAAAAAAAATTGTGGTATTACATAAATAACTGGTTGACACTTTTTCTGGAAAGAACTAGGATTACTAATCTGATTAAAACCATTTATATCATTTTCTTTTCATAGTTGGTTTGCCAAAAGTTGAGAGGTAGCTAAGATTAGAATCAGATCATTTTCCCCTCCCAGAAATCGGGAGGTGCTTTCCCTTCTCCCCAAACCTCAGATTCTGTAGTGAGAGCTTGATCTTTCTCTAAAGAGAAAGTACATCTATTTCTAAGGAAATAAAAGAGGTTAGGAACATTGCTTTGGACCAAGAGAACAAAAGTTTAGCCAAAGCACATGCACATATTATTTTTCACTGAAGAGACTCTCTCGAAATCTAATTGGCCATTTTTTATTGCTCTATTATACAGATTATTAACAATATAAATATATTTTTTAAAAGTTGAGGTTCCCATAGAAATTTTATCCTTTCCAATACTTGTTCAGGACAATTATATATTATTACATGTAGAGCTATTCCTACATTTTCCTTCTCTGAAAATATTCTGAAGTCTTTTTGAATATATTATATTTAACATCAAAACTTGTAAATCATGAATGAGGGACTTCCTGCCCATTAGCAGGTACCTACTATGCTTGCATAAAGCACAGCTGAACTTTTCCACCAGTGTCTCTTCCTCTCCTTTTAGGATTTCTTTTTATTTCTATGATTGTGTCCTCATTTCCCTTTATGCCTTTATTTCCTTTTATATCTCTACCTTCACTCCTGGCAAGACAATAGGACCATACTTTTTGTGTTATTTATTTGTTGAAGGAAATGTTTTACTTTATGTTCTTAAGTTTTGAATTATACTGTATAAGTATCGTCATAAGTACTAATAACGCATTGGGGAGTCATTGTGTACCAAGTATTAGGCTAGATAATTTTTATGTTAACTCATTAAATACTCAAAACAGTTTACAACAGATTCTGTTACTATCCACATTTTATAAATGAGGATATAGCAGAGAAAGAATAGAAGTAATTTTCCCAAGATCATATGGCTAGTAAGTAGTGGAACCAGCATTTGGATCCAAGGCCCTAACTCCAAAGCCTATTGTTTTAGTTAATATGCTACCATTTCTATGTATGTGTTTAATAGAAATAGTCACTAAATAATCTTTGAAAACTAATCTTTAAAAACTAATCCTTGCCTTCTGTATAGCATAGTCTTGTCCTGTAGTAGGTATCTAATGAATATTTTGTTGAGTGTTAAATGAACTTTAACTGAAAATATTGAATAAACTCGCTATTCATAGATTTTTTAATTTAAATTATCATTTGCAGACTTGTAATAATAAGATTTTAAAAAAATTATTGTAACTTCAATATGAAATTGATATTATTTGATTCCCCAGTTTGTCTTTCACTGGTTATATAACTAACCAGATTCTTTTTTTTATTCCCCACATTATTTTGCTGGGCTTCCCAGATCCACTTTACCTTCTGAGTTCTCTATTTCTATTTAATGTGGTATCACTGTACTTCTCAGTTCTTGAAATCCTTGTGCCAGGTAGTTGGGGACACGATGGTGTATGAGATTGACCCAGTCCCTGCCTTGAAAAAACTTATAGTATAGTCTCATAGGAACCTCAGAAATACCACAAGTGTGATGACTGTTATGGAACAGGATATAGAGTATGCTATGGAGGCATATTTTAGGGACAGAGAAGGACTTGCTACAGAAGTGGTCTGTAAGTTGAAAATCTGCAGGATAAATTGGAATTAGAGGAAGAGGGCAGGCAGAATTGTTTTGAGCAGAGAGCATAATTGCATGTTAGAAAGCCTGGTGATAAGAGAGAAGACTGTATACTTGAGGAACTAAAGATAGTCTGGTTCGAACAGAAAACAAGGAGGGGGATAGTGGAAGATAAAGTCACAGAGCTAGACACTAGCCATTTCAAACCATGTTAAAATTTTTGGGCTTTATCAAAGGGCAGTAGAAGCCATTAAAGGGTAAAGGAGTGACATGTAATTATATGTGCATTTTTAAAAGATCTCTATGACCTCAGAATGGTGGTTCCATTTCTGAAAATCTGCTAAGAGGCTTTTGAAGTCATCTGGGATAGAGATGGTGGTGTTTTAGACTAGGGGTATAACAAGGACGGAGAAAAATGGACCAGTAAAAGAATTCTCTGAGAGAGTTGGAGATTGGATGAAGACATGAGTGTGGGGGGTGAAAAGAGATTACTCCTAGATTTTTATTTGAACGGCTGGGTGATCCTAAAAGTGCTGCCCCATTTATTGAGGTAGGAACACTAGAGTAAAATCATACTTGGGAATAAAGATGAATTCAAGTTTTATGTATAGTAATTTTGATGTTGAATAGACTTCCAAATGGAGACGTCTCACTAGAAATTAGATACGTGGTGTTAGCTTGGGGAGAAAAGTTTGGACTATAGATAGAAATTTGGGAGTCATTAAGTACAGAAGTAGTTGATACCTTAAGGAGTAAATCACTCAAGGGAAGCATGTAGAATGAGAAAACAGGAGAGGGCCTCAGACAGCATCCTAGATTTCTCCCAAAATTTAAGAATCAAGTAGGCTAAGAAGAATGGCAAAGGATTGATAAAAACCATTAAAAGAGGGAGGGAAATTTTCAACAAGAATATTGCCTAGAAGATAAGTTAAAGAAGTCTTTAGATTTAGGTGGTGGTGCTTGAATACTTTCTTAAAAGGATAATATTCAAATTACAGAGGTGAAGCTAGATTAGAGTGGTTTGGAAAATAAGTACAGCAATACATTTATGAAATTTAGTTGTGAAAGGGAGAGGTAGGCTGAGCGGTAGTAGCTGGAGGAAAATGAGTTGGTGGGGATTTATTTAGTTATTTAGTTATTGTTTATCTGGGGGAAGTAAGTTTGAACAGGATTAAATGCTTATGAAAAGGATTCAGTAGATGGAGAGGAAAGATTCAAGAGAAACAAGGTAAATAGGCAAAGTCTCTGAGAAAGGAGGAGAGCCTGAGATCTAGATTATAATGGGAGCCTTGATCTTAGATAATGAAATGCTTTAATCTTGCACTAGAGAGGAGTATAGTTGAAGGTTGTCGTTCAAAGTTATCTTCTATTTGATGATTCTGGTTTTCCTTGTGAAGTAATGGCAAGATCATGTCTTGAAAGTCCTGACAGAAAATGAGTGGGCTTGAAGAGTGGGAAGAGAAGGTGTGAAATAGTAATTGAGGAGAATGGTTGGGTTAAATGATTATAGTGAAGTGTTTTGGGGCAAAGTTGAAGCCTCAGATGAGATTAATTTTCTGTGTGGTCTGTTGGGTAACTTTCCTCCAGTAGTGATTTGTATCCCCAATATAAACACAAATGTAGTTAGTTTAATTCATCTAAGGTGTCATTTTGGCATGCCAGAATACTGAAGGACAGAGGGGCAAAGGGAATTTAGGATACTGGCAAGAGATTGCTTAAAATTGTGGACCACTGGATACAAACTGGTTAAGAAGAAAAGTGAAGATAAGAGAAATGCTGATGGACAGTAAGAAGGTTAATGGGTTAATGGACTTGGGATTCCATTGTGAACATGAAGCAGTGTAATGGGAGTAAATGAGAGTGAGCTAGAAGGCTGAGAAGTTTGGAAGATAGTGTGAGTTCAAGTGTCAGAGCTGATGGGAGGGTCCATGGTGTGATCTTAGCAATCAAGAGTTCATTGAAATCTGGGAGAGTGTCTTTAGAGATGAGATCAGAAAACTTAAGTCCCAAACAATGGGCTTTTGAAGTCCCTTGGTATGATGATGGGTCTTGAAGTAGAGGAAAAAACATATGAGCTCCTGTCCATCATCAGTGATTGAGAGTGAGTCATTAGAAATTTGGTAGGTGGCAGCTGAGCTGAAGGCATAGTTTGAAGAGATCAGGAGCTTGTACCAAAGGGTGTAAAGTAGCAAGCTTCTCACTTGATTTACTTCAGTATCCTTACTCAGTCTCCCTGCATCCAGTGTTTCTCCCCTCCATATCTTCTCACACACTTATCCAATTATTCTGAAGTCTGACACCCTTTTTGTAAAATCTCCAAAAATTTTCTTTGCTGAGAAAATAAAATAGAGAGTCCTCACCTTGCATTCAGAGCCTTTCATGATCTGGCTCATCCCCAATCTGTCTGTCCAGCTTTGTCACCTCATCCCTTAATCTTCACCAAATAATAACCAACTCCAATTCCCCTAAATGCTACCATTTCCTTTTCTTCTTGCATCACTTTGTTCATATTCTCTCTGCTGTCTAGAATGCTTCCCACACTGCTGCACATCCATTACCTACTGTCCTTGAGGCCTAGAGCAGATTACAGCTCTGTCATGAAGAACTTCTATACCCCTTCAGGTGGAAGTCATTTCTTTTTCATCTGGGCATTAATAGTAATCATCTTAATGAATGGCATTGACCATTTTCTAATCTCATTAAGTATTTGCGTGTCTTCTAGATTATAAACTCTTTGGAGATAAGATTTCTGATTTTCTTTGCATCTTTTCAATATTTCATACAGTATAAACATAGAATAAGTGAATAACCTAAAATATGTTAGTGTTCATTGTATTGTTTATGTTTATCCTGTAATTTATTAGTAGGTAGTCATGTTTGTCAGTAAATGATCATTTAGTTAAAAAGTTTGACCTTTTAACTTTATCACTGAAATTTTTTAAAGTGTGTATATTATGCTTATATTCACAGCCCCATGCAATCATTCGTCATACCATTAGATCTACAAACAGGAATGCCAGAGCTGAACGGACAGCTTCAGAAATAAATTGTATGTGTTTGGTATACATTTTCAATTGGTGGTCTCGGAGGGTTGAGCTGGGTGTTCTCGTGGGTCTTACTGGAATAATAAAATTTCAGACTGAGGCTACATGCTTTAACATATCAGAATACCTTTAAAATAGAGGTTGTTTCTCTGGTTTATAATGGAATTTTCTTATTTTTTTTTTTAATTTTTTTTTTTCAACGTTTATTTATTTTTGCGACAGAGAGAGACAGAACATGAACGGGGGAGGGGCAGAGAGAGAGGGAGACACAGAATCGGAAACAGGCTCCAGGCTCTGAGCCATCAGCCCAGAGCCTGACATGGGGCTCGAACTCACGGACCACGAGATCGTGACCTGGCTGAAGTCGGACGCTTAACCGACTGCGCCACCCAGGCACCCCTCTTATTTTTTAATTAAATGGTGTTTACTTACTAATTATAGAGGTAATATATGTTCATTTTAGAAAATTTGTAAGAGGAAAAAAATAGAAAATTAACATTGCCCATAATCTCATCACCCAGCACCAACCCACAGGTAATATTTTTGTTAATTGCCTCCATGTTTTTCCATGTGTGTTTTTACATGGCTGAATTTATGCTATGCATAAATTTTTTACTGAACACAGAAGCATTTCCCATACACTAATCTGGCCCTCCTTTTTCATTGAGTTAATACACTGTAGTTGTGTAGTTTCCGATTGTTGGACATTTGGGTTGGTTTCAGTTTTTTTAGGTTACTAGGAGAGGTGTATCTTTTCTAAAATGTCTACTTAAAAGGGGAAATTGATTGTTATTCTGTAAATTAGTCATTGACAAATATTTGGTATCAATGATATTTGTCATTTTAGCCACATTAATTTAGAAGAACAGATTTGCAAAGAAGTTTTAGGTATATTGACTTAAATGTATACTTGTTTCAAAAAAGATTTAAAGAAGTTTACAATAAAATAAGATATGTAAACCCTAATGAAGGAATATAATTTATTAAATGTATAGACTAATTAGAATTATTGTAGATGAACATTTTGTTGAAGTCTGAGTTTTCTTAAACCAAATATTTCTAGCTTTATACAGCTTTGGAAATATAGGTCAATGGGGAGTTAGAATGTCCTTCCTGTATCAGTTGATTCAATCAGGCTTTTCTTAGTTAAACCAGTAACCGGAGATCTTATCTCTTTGTTAATCCCAGATTGCTGATACTTCTTATGCTATCTTCTTATATAATCCCAAGTCAACTCTCTGGACTTCAAATACCATACAGAAAAGTAGCAAAGTTGCTCTTCCATTATAAAGCCATCTTCTTTATTTTATGCAGTTGTATAAATATTCAATTAATATAGTCTAATTTATCTATATTTTCTTCTATAACTTTTGGGTTTTGTGTCATATTTAGCAAGGCCTTCCTGATTTTAAGGTTATAAAAGAATTCTATTATTTTTTTCTTGTATTTTTATACTTTCACTGTTATAATATTTAATAGTTGATATACAGTATTAATTTATTTGGTAAGATGTATAAAGTTTGTATACAATTTTAGTTTCTTTTTACATGACTACCCATTTGTCTAAATACTAATTATTAAAAACTTAATATTTTTACTAATGGATTTGACATGCTACCTTTATGATGTACTAAATGACCATATATTTTTTTGGATTCTTTCCAGAAATTCTCTTATTGCATTATTATGTCTAGTCATGTGCGAATAGCATAATTTGATTATGTCTTTATAATACCTGTTAAAATCGTTAAGACTAATTATCCTCCTACTCCCCTCACTCTACCTCCCCCACTTTTGTTATGATAGTTAGCTATTGTATTCTCCCCACATAAACTTAAGAATCAATGTATCTAGTTAAAAAAATTCTCAGTGTTTTACTGAGATCTCATAAAAGGTCATGTACTAACTTTGGGAGAGTCGACACCTATAAGGTAGTCTGTCTTCTTAACTTAAAATAGGCTTTTTCAGAGGTAAGTAAGTTCAAGGCTTAGTTCTTTCATGAATGACCAGAGTACTAATGTCTTCGTGGAGTAAACTCTGTGCTTTAAGTACCAGAAAAAATTTGATAAAGTTGAAGGTCATTTTATTGGTGATTTATCTTTAAATTTTCTTGAGTCTTCTTTTGTGTCCATCAAGAGTATTTTATAGCTTTGTTTTTATTTGTTTAATAGATTTTATATACACCTAGTTAGTTCTATTCTTAGTTTTTTGTTTCATGTTTAAAATTTGAGCTGGTAACTTACATACAGTAAAATGCTTAGGTGTACTGCATGATGAATTTTTATATATGTATACACTCATGAAACTGATTTTTGATCTGGGGATTAAAAATATAGAACATTATCAGAATCTCTGAAGGCTCCTTTCCGTATGCTCCATTACAATCGATGTCCTTCTTTCTTCGTATCCTCTTGCCCTTTCCATTGCCCAGGCTAATCTCTGTTCTGATCGTTTATCACTATAGATTTGGTTTTTAGCTGATCTGGGTCTTCAGATAAATAGGATATACAAAATGCACCCTTTTTGCTTGGTTTCTTTTGCTCAACATTATGTCTGTGGGAGTAATTCATGTCATGTATAGCAATCATTGTTTTCATAGTAATCATATTTCATTGTATGATCATATCATAATTTATCCATTCTTTGGTTGATGGGCATTTGATTTGTTTCCAGTTTCGGGCTATTATCACTAGTATAAGCATCCTTCCTGTGTATTTTTAGTGGACATAGTAATTATTATGAGCCTGGCCTAGTCTGAAACCAAGGATAAATGTGTAGCCCAGCAAAGTCAGGTTTCTTGACTCCTTGCAATGAAGGAAAACATACACCAGAGGAACTATGGAACATCTCATTAAACAAAGGAAAAGAAGAGTTACAGGGTTTTTTCTTAGGCTTTTTTTATTTTGAGATAGAGAGCAGCAAGTGTGAGCTGGGGGAGGGGCAGAGAGAGAGGGAGAGAGAATTGCAAGCCCACACTGTCAGTGCAAAGCCCAACGTGGGGCTCAGTCTCACAGTGAGATCATGACCTGAACGGAAATCAAGAGTCAGACATTCAACCAACTGAGCCACCCAGGTGGCCCCAAGAAGAGTTAGAGGGTTTTGAAAAGGATAAAGTTCAAGTGAAATGTGACACTAGAAAAAAGGGATGTGTATGAAAGAGTGAATATCAGGTCTAATACCATGAAAATTGACCCAGAGGCCTGTTTTGGAAACTTGGAATGTTGTATTGGGAACTCCTTTATTTGAAGATTGTATCTGTTTTCCAACTGGTTATGGTTTCTGTTCTCCTGCTTCTTGTCTGGTCATTTTTTTATTATATCTTGGACATTGTGGTGCGACACTGAGTGTCTGGATTTGGTCCTCTTTATCCAAAAGGTGTTTAAAGAGTTTCTTAAGTGGTACGTCAGCTTGATCCTTTTAAGGCTTGTGACAGGTTTTACCAGATATTCAGCAGGCTCTTTCCTCTGGTTAGAAATTCAACTATCTTTCCTGGTACTGTGCGATCACCAGAATCTGCAGTTAGCTCAGCACTCCTCTGCTAGCTGTTTGTGACGTACTTTGTATAATCTCGTGTTTGCTTATGGGCAATTTAGTATTCAACCAAAGACTTAAAGAGATCTCTTGGCATATTTCTGGAGCTCCTCCTTTATGCAGCTTTCTTATTTCTGGCACTCTGCCCTTCAAATTCCAACTACCTAAGCAGCTCCAATCTTCAGTCTTTGTTTCCAACACCCAGTGAGGCTGGTACTCTCTCTTTGGATTCCACTTTCTTGTGTCCTAGTTTGTAAAGTGCCTCCAGGCAGAAAGCCAGAGTGAATGTGGATCTTGCCACCATGTATTTCCTTTCTCTCAAGGACAGTGCTGTGGTATCTGTTAGCCACTGCCTCAGAACAATTGCTTCACATAATTTATGCGCACATACATGTAACACCAGTGTCTTAGTTGTTTAAAGCAGAAGGAGAAATACAATTCCTGTTACCGTATTATGGCTAGAGCCTACATCATCTTAAAGAGATAAATGAGTATGTATAATAGAAGACCTCCCCATCTTTGTATTTTCATACGCCAAAGATGCACCCAAAGGTACTGCTGGTATTTTCTCTAAAACAAAACAACTTCAGGTCCCATCTACCACATAAAACAATGATATAGCATTCTGTGCCATAGTTATGGCTACAGTTTTAGAAGAGTACTTTTCTTATGTGTTAAAACATCTTCAATGTTTATGAAACTCATTTTCTCTAGGGATTTCTTTTTAAGTATTGAAATTTGCTTGTTATATAATTCTTATTATTAAAGAGTGATATTTTCTCTTTCTTTACCATACATACACACTTGTGATTCATCTCTACACCTGCTTGCCAGTATTTCTGGTTGTGACAAAAAAACTTTAGCTCATCTCTGTCTCAAATGAGTTGAAGTAGTGATTTCAAGTAGTGGTTTTGAGTTAAGATGTTTTTTAATTATGTTAAGAAATAAATCACTAATAAAGAGCTTTTTATTTTAGGTTATTTTTGAAAAGTAGATACTGTGTTTTATGAAATATCTTCAATCTTTTTTTTAGAAATTTTTATGACAATGCTTTTATTTAATGAATTATATAAGTACTTTGTATTACTTTACAAATCTTGTTTTAGGGATAAAGACAACTGGATCCTTTTTGAAAATGATTTTTTAATGTATTTTATTTGCCAAGATTGTATTTGGGGATCTTGCATCTCTATGCTGCAAGTGTTTTTTTTTTTTTTTTCTCTTTGATCATTTAGTCATTAGATTTTACAGTTTTAAAATTCTGTGTACTTTATGAGTAGATAATAAGCTATCCTTTTCTCTGTTTTAGAATATTTCATATAAAAGAGTAGGCCAAATAAAATATACATTGAGCAAAATATAATATTAAATTTCTGAATTCCATTATAACATTTAATTTAATGTTTGTTCTTTTTAGATAATTATAGGTAATTTGGGGAGGTTCATTTCTGCCATAAAGTTGTAGCCTTAGAACAGAGTGTGCAGCCTAGACAGGGAAAATCCTTTAGTCACCATTAGTTTTCTTAGTCACCTACTTTGATTAACTTTTTAAATCTCATACACAAAGAATTTACTAAGTAGATTTGTAGTAAGCTACCAAATTGTTACCTTCTTTTGGTAAATATAAAGAAAGGTACTCTTTGCAGTAAAAAAGTGAAAAAATTTTGTCTTCTTTCTTCTTCTTTCCCCCTTCCCCTCTCCCCTATACATATGCTTCTTGCTACATTTCTGAAATTAACCCTTTAAGATAGAGTTTGTGAATATCTGTTATATATTTTGCAGTTGACAAATTACAGTTTGAACCTCCTCTGAGAAAAGAAACAGAAGCACGGGATGAAATGGTAGGAATTATTACTTCAGAAGTACTTTACACATTAAAATTTGAGAAAACTTATAGTCAGGTAAACTTTGATTAAGGATCAAAGTTATATATTCTTTCAAGCATTAATTTTGATACTGTATTTCACATATTAAAGTTTGAAAAAGCTTATAGTTAGGCATATTTTAACTAGAGTACATTTTGTAATATACCATCTTAACCATTCATATTGACCTTTCTGAATCTTTTGAAGGAGTTACATGAAGTTATTAAATATATGGAATTTGATGTTGAGCTTTAAGCTCTAGGATCTTTTTTTCTTACAGACTGTGTTAGGTTTGTAGTATATTTTTGCATTACCTTACTGTTTTTGATATTTATTTGTTAATATAGCTTCTTTTTTAACCATTGCTCTTATATTTCGAAGTTACTGTTTAGTTCAACATTTTCTTATCTAAAAGGAAAAAAGTAATAAATAGAGCAAGGTATTATCAGAGTTGCCTAGATGTTACCTTAACATTTACTTTATTTTTAAGCTTTGGTAAAGTATAATTTTTCGAAGAATTGCCTTCTGTTAATGGATCTCTTCATTCTTAACATTTGGAAGTAGTACTCTTCTTACTGTATATATTAAGATATATATATATACATATATATATATATCTTAATATATATTCGTTTTCCACACTAATGGATTAGTGATGCAGATAATTCGTTTTCCACACTAATGGATTAGTGATGCAGATAATTCAGAGTTATGTTTTTCTGTTTATTTGGAATATACTAGCTTTGGTAAAGAGGGCTTGTCACACTGAAACTATATTCAGTATGTTTATGGAATTTCTTAAGTTTCAGTCAACAGATAATGAGTCATTGACCTAAATATGTCAAATGGCAGCAAATCTAACTGGAGATTAAAAAATTGATTGAAAGCCAAGATGATTAACAATCATGACACTGAATATTTTCTTGAATCAAATAAAATGATTAATATCTGTTATAAGGGAACATTTTAAACTATTTTTACCTTCACAGGGAGTGTCATCAGACCCAAACTTTGTATTACAATGGAATCCTTTTGTTGATGGTGCAAATACTGGCAAGTAAGTTGTTTGCTAACTTAATATTTTACTTATATTTTACTTTATATAGGAACAGTATTGGGTGGGAGCAATTTATTCTAATAAGTTTTAATTTTCATTCTTAAAAAAAAATTGTGCTCTGCCTCATATCAGTGTAAAGCTTCTGACTTTTTAATTGCCAAAAGGCATCATGTGTAATTAAGGTTTTCTTCTTTAAATTCAGCTTAGTGCATGTAATGTTTATTTACTGAAAGATGAGGTACATAATGTCATGGGAAAAAGTGCTGTAGGAGTCACCAAGCCCCAAATCCATTCTGCAGTATAGTTACTTTATATTCTAGACCTGTCTTCCCTCAACAGGTAAGTTACAGGGCTTGCCCAGATATTCCAAGCCTGTGCATTGCCTAGAGAGGTCTTTGGAAGTACAGATCTCTGCGGCCCCCACATTCAGCTTATAGATCTGGGGTTGGCAAACTATGACCTATAAGTCACATCTGGTCCACTGCCTATGTTTTGTACAGTCCACAAACTAGAATGGTATTTAGATTTTTTAATAATTGAAAGAAAATCCAAAGGAGAGTGATACTTTGTTATATGTGAAAATTATATAAACATTTTAGTGTCCATAAGGAAGGTTTATTGGGATACAGCCATGCTTATTAGTTATGTATTACCTATGGCTGCTTTCACATTATAACAAAGAGTTAAGTACTTGTGACCACTGTATACACTAAAGTTTATAATATTTACTACTGTCTGGCCCCTTACAGAAAAAGTTTGCCAACCCTTGCAACAGAATACGGTCTTTGGGACTCGAATCTCAGAATCCTAAAAGCTTCCCAATTGATTACAATAACTCTAGATAAATAAGCGTATGGAACCAGTGAGCTAGATCAGTGATTCTTAAGTTTTGATGTGCCTGGAAGATCACCTGAAGGTTCTGATTCCATAGGTCTAGACGATACATATGGAAGTTTCAAGGTGATGCCAATATTGTTAATCTATGTACCCCACTTGGGCTAGCAAAAAGGGTTTGATGATATGGCCACTTGAATCTATGATTCACAGTGGCTTCCAACTCTAAAATTTGGAATCTGTTTTTTTACTAAGTTTAATTTTTATTACATACTAAATATGCAGAGCATAACCACAAAGTAAAAAAGACTTTGTATTCATTTTATACAAATCTATTTTATAGTCCTGCTAATACAGTTTGACATAATGAGGTCTTAGGTCTTTCTATAGGTTTTAAAAATTCTCTTTATCATGATCTAAAGAATGTAAACAATTTTAATGCACATTTATTAGAGTCTCTATTTTATGTTACATTTACTACCATCTGAATTGCATTTTTCTCCTTGTGTTAGATCAACCTCAAAACGTGCAATACCACCTCCCCTACCTCCTAAGGTGAGCAACTTAAAATTTTTGAATAAATCCTTTTTTTAATAATAAAATAATTAAAAAGTAATTTCATTGAATTTGTTCAAAATTCTCTTAAATATGCTTTAGATAAATACAGGTTTTTTTCAAGAGGGGATTACAAAGATGTAAAATATATATTAAAAAACTTCCTGAGAAATACAATATTTTAATAGCTATAAGAAAAAGGTAAAAATCACATACTCATTTGAGAAAATACTCGACTACATGAAGAGGAAACAGAAAGAGTTCATCATTTACAGTCCTCATTTAGTATGGCAATTTCCTATTTCAATGGAGTAATACTTCATTAAGTCCTTGCTTATTCCTGCTTATTAAATATTTTGTGGATTGTTTATATAATTTTATCAGTTTAAAATTATATCAGGTTTGGCTTAGGGATGATTAAAAAATCACATGGCAAGTTCTTAGTTGTGTTGGGACAGTAACTCTTGTTTATTTTTCTTACTTAGCTTAGTGAGTTGAATTATATAGCAAAAAGAAAAAATCACATACCTCCCCACCCCCTAAAGTCTTAGGTGGGTAATGATAATAAAGTGTTACTGTTTCATATCCAAATTTATTAAAGTACTCTTATGTCTTATTATCACAGCCAAGGATAAACAGCTACCCTGAAGACAACCTCCTAGATGAAGAAAAATCATCAACTGTAAAACGTTGCCCTGATTCAGAGAACAGAGCTCCCCAGTTTCTCAGAAGACAGAGTAGCCCAAGTTGTGGTCCTGTAGCTGAGACTTCCTCTATTGGTATGGCTAGCAGTGTCAGCAGTCCTGGAGTGCATACAGCTAGATACTGTGATCTGGGTAAATAAATCAAAGTGAAAACTGAAAAGAAAGCCATTTTCATATTTTAAAGAATGTCTTTGGTCACTCTTTTAACTGTTTAAAGCTTTCTGAAGTTACTTTAAAATTCCAAGTGGGCGGACTGTGAATAGATTCAGTCCAAGTGAACCCTGATTTGATTTCTTAAGTAATATGATAGGTCTTAGAATGATGAATGGATGTTCCTGCCCTCCAGAAGTTCAGGATCTGTAGCAGAAGTTACACCCTATGGGTACCTGTAACATTAGACAAGACAGCTTATGTAAGTGTCTCATACAGTAATTAACTATAGTAATAGAAGATGAGAAATTTTTCAGGAAGATAAGGATAGAGAAGAGAGTGGGGGGCGGGAGGGCTTGCAGAGCATTAAAGTAGATGGATCCTTCATTAGTGGGAGCCAGTGCTGACAGGCATGCCTGATGAGCAAGAAAGAATGAACAAATGCACTGACAACCTGGATTGTGTTGGAAGTATACTATGGGAGAAGTGTGAGCTTTTGAAAGGTGTATACTAGGAGATAGAACTAAAAAGGTAGACTGGAGTTTAGTTATGAAAGGCCTTGAATATATCAGGCCTGAATATCTGAATATCAGATTTCATTTTTCTCACAATATGGAAAGACATTTGTTGTTTACATTGATTAAGACCACTGCTAGAGATGCAATGCTACTTCTATTGAACCTAGAGAACGGCACTGAAGATACTTTAACTCATCTGCCAGTAGAGAATATTTCCCAGTAAAGGATCACCCAAATGGAAAACAAGTATTGGGGGAAAAGGAAAATTATTTTTCAAGGAAGGTACTTATTTGTATGTTCATTCAGCTTTAACCATGATTCTTTTTAGGAGATGGTGATGGTATTTCAAAACTAATTAGTGAAAATACAGAAGGATCAGCACAAGCACCCCAGTTACCACGGAAAAAAGACAAGCGAGATTTCCCGGTAGGCGTAACAGGCATTTGGTGATTAGTTGTAACGATTACCGTGTTTATCGTAGAGAGGCAGTGTCTGTTTTGGTGGGCAGGGGGCATTGTCTCTTTAATTCAAGAATTAGATAACTAAATTTCCAAATGTATAGGTGTTTTTTTAAGGCTTAAGAGATCTTAAAGCAATAAAAATTATTTTTCCCACAGAAACCAGCCATCAATGGCCTTCCACCTACTCCAAAAGTGCTGGTAAGGAATATTTTTATGTGAACCACTTGCCAATTTTCATCTCTTTAGAAGCAGCAGATTTTTTGTTTGCTGTCAAGTATCTTGAGCTATTGAATGGAAGGATTCATAAAATACAAAGGCATAAATGCATTTTGATACACCACGAATCAAATCATGTACCCTAATGTGAGTTGGTTAGAACTTGGAAAGTTTTGCTTTTTGTAAATATGGCAATTGGGTTCTCAGAGTAGCCTTGAAAGGCCAGTTTAACTTTAATGTGATGATATCAGTAGTACTGTGTCCTCTTCATTATATGGGTTAAATTCCTTTCTGCCCCTGAAGCCATTTTCACACTGAACTATACACAGTGAACGGGGAAGCTTATCTTAGTGCTTGTTCTCTGGCTCTCCAAGGTGGTTCAGCCAATCATATGAATGGGATGCTTTATAAATTATACCTTTTTATTCAGTAAAAGTCTAATATGTAATGTAAATATTAGTCTTTTTGTCTGCTTCACTATTACAGAGTTACACTGCAATTACAATCACTGTGATGTTGCTCAGTAATATCATCCATTATTTCACATTATTAAATGTTAGTCCTAAAGATAAGTGGGGACTGAAAATTCCTAAAATAGATCACTGACATATGTAGATGTTTTGGTAAATTTGTTATTTTTGCCCTGAAATAGTGGATTACACAAGGCAACAATAGGAGACTCTATTGTTAGAAGTCATTAAATGATATCAAAATAGGAATTTTGGTAATGAAACCATAAACATATGCAAGTAAGAGTGAATTTAGCATTTTGTAATCTTAGCTGATTTCTAAGAATATATAAAATTACATAATCAAATAAGTCAATATTTCTTTCTTTATAAATAAGATGGGAGCATGTTTTTCCAAAGTTTTTGATGGCTGCCCTTTGAAAATTAATTGTGCAACATCTTGGATACATCCTGATACAAAAGGTAAAATTTCTGAACTTTTTTTTTTAAATGTTTATTTGAGAGAGAGAGAGAGAGAGAGAGAGAGAGTGTGCGCCTGCCCACACTTGTACAAAGAGTCGGGCACTGAATGGACTGAGCCACCCAGGTGCCCCTGAAATTTCTGAACAAAATTATATACACCTCTAATAAAATATTTATTATGAAAAAAGATATTTATGGTCAGTGAACTGAAGTTATTTAAAAATATTACTTTAGAGACTAAATAGTATAGATACCTGCAACAACCTAAATTGGTAGATAAGAGTTTTGGTTTAACCTTTAGAATTTAAGAGTATATGGGAACTGTTCTGATTAAAGGAGACTGAATAGACATGCCACAAGTGATTGCAACCATAATTAGGGATTTTCTGTCATATAAAAGGACAATACTGGGACAGTTGATAATCTCAATCAGTGAAGTCATTACAGTAGATAATAGTATAGTGTCAGTGTTAATTTCCTGATTTCGAACATCGTACTGTGGTTATATAACACTTCTGTTTTTCTTTTTTTAAGATGTGCACACTGAAATATTTAGGAATTAAGGGGCATCGTGTTTGTAACTTAAACAGCTCAGAAAAAAAAAAATGTGTGTGTGTAGAGTGAAAAAAGGATAAAGCAAAAGTAGTAAATGGTAATATTTGTGGAATCTGTGTGAAGGATATTCAGGAATTCTTTGTACTATTAAAACTTTTCTATAAATCTGAAATAATGGCAATATAACAATTTATTTTTAAAAATTTATACTGTATGTTTTTAAAGTGAGGAAACCTAATACATAGAGGTAAAAATTTGGAATCAAATAGACCTGGGTTTGAATTCCTGCTCTGTCATTACTATATGACTTGAGAAAGAAACTTTACACCTCTGTTCTCAGTGTGATCATTTTACAACATAAATACTCTTACGACTCACCTCACTGCAAGGAAGGAAAAAGCCTGCCTACCTGAGTGTCTGGCAATTAGCAAACAGAGCAGGCAAAAAAGGGTGTTCAGGAAATGTTTGTTTCCACTTTAACATAATAATATAAACAAGTCGTATAATTATCTGCTTTAAATGCTACTGTTAGAAATATAACAAAAAAGAAGTATTTTCATCAGTAAAGAAATGTTTTTTGTGTGTTTGTTACTTTTTATTTTGATATAATTTCAGACCTAACAGAAAAGTTAGAAAAATAGTGTAAGAAACTCCTCTATACTCAGAATCATCAGTTATTTCTATTATTTATCTATATGTGCATTTTTTTCTGAATTACTTGAGAGTGGCTCTGTGTACTTCATTTTGTATTTCCTAGGAACAAGAATCATCTCTTACATACCCACAGTACAATTGTGAAGATCAGGAAATTTATCATTGATTTAATACATAGTCCATATTTATTTTTTGATTGAAGTATAGTTGACATCACAGTCCATGTTTAAATTATTGTCTCAATAATATTCTTTATTGTCTTCCCCCTTCTTTTTTCCCCAGTCCAACAACATCTAATTCAGGATCACAGGTTTTATTTAGCTACCACAACTGTTCAGTCTCCTCACATCTGGAACAGTTCTTCAACCTTTCTTTGTGTCTCTTGATCTTGACATTTTTGGAACTATCTATTTTGTAGAATGTCACTTAATTTGGGTTTGTTGATGAGTCCTCATACTTAGATCAAGGAATGCATTTTTGGTGGGAATATGAAAGAATTGTGCTCTTCTTAGTGCATCGTATCAGAAGGTACATGCTGTCAGCTTGTCCAAACACTAGTGATATTAACGTTGACCATCTGGTTAAGGTGGTGTTCACCAGCTTTCTCCACTGTCAAGTGACTATTTTTCCCTTTTTAATTAATTAGTAATTACTTGATAAGTAATATGGAATACATTGAGACTATATAAATATCCTCTTGTTCATCAGACTTTAACCAACTGGTTTTAGCATTTATTGATTGTTGACAATCCACTGACATCCATGGACAATTTCTCTTCTTTTCCATTTATTTATGTACCTATATTAGTTTGAACTTATGAATTTTATTCAGGGAGATATGATCTATTAATATTATTATTTATTTTAGCGCTTAAATTGTCCCAGAATTTTTGAGCAGGGAGAGTTCCTATGTTCTTTAGTTTAATGTTTGATCACTTCCTACCTTTCTGGCACAGGAAGATTTCTAGGCTCATCTTACACTTTTCTTGCCCCAGAATTGGAATCCATCTTTTCTCCAAGCAGCCCTGGTTCTTTCTAGTGCAAAGTAATATATTTAGGAACCAAGATCTGGACACTAGGTATGCTCATTGTTTCTGGTGTGTCATGATTTATAATTTCTATTTAATTCACAGTGTCCTTCAAAGAGTATTTGAGATACCCGGCAAAAATACAGTTACATTGAAAAATCTTAAGATATGACAATTATGTTGAAAGGAAGGATTATATAAGATAAAGCTAGAGTGAACGAGTAACAGAGAATATATCTGCTTTTAAACATAAGATCAGAATTGGAGAAAAATGTAAAGAAGATGGCATGAACTTTAGAAAATAATTTTTCTTCGGATGGGTGGGTGGCCAGCTAACTCTCAACACCATTAAATCACAGAGCCATTTTATTTAATTATTTCAGAAAATGATAGTAAATTCTGGTGATTTATCTTAACTGTTTTAGATCAGTACATTATTTTTGGAACTGAAGATGGTATTTACACATTGAATCTCAATGAGCTGCATGAGGCAACGATGGAACAGGTAATTTAGGAGTTTTAACTCAAGAAATTAGTGTGGGTGTATTGGGTAAAGAAGTCTTGTAATTTTAAATCAATTTTTATGGGCTTCAGTTGTAATGTTTATGATTTAAATATTTAAGGAGATGAAATTGTATTCTTTACATGTTCACATTACAAGATTTTTTTTGTAAAGTTTCTTTAATTTACTAAAGGTAGAAAATAGTTATTTTTATACTATTTCAGACTGTTAGAATTTGGATGTTAAAGCATAAGGGAATGAAAACTGGAGAATTTTAATTCCCTTCTTTTTTTTTCTTTATAGTTATTTCCACGGAAATGTACTTGGCTCTATGTTATCAATAATACTTTAATGTCATTATCAGGTATGTATATAATGAAAATAATGTGAAAAATAAACCATAGACAAGCAGAGAAATGTAATATTTTTAATTAAAGCATAGTTGACACAAGAGAAAGATAATTTTAATAGACGTTATTTTTTAAGTGTTATTTGTTTTACTATGTATAGTAACTTTGCAACTTGCAGATGTTTTCTACAAACTTAGAATGGGAAGAAACTTTGAGAAAGGACCCTGTGTTCAGTTAAGGTAGCACTTCCCAAACCTGTCCAGGATGTAAACACCTGAGGACTATCCCGTTGATTGTTACCTGAGGCCATCCCCTTCCACTCAGACTCCTCCACCCTCACTGTCGCTATCACCGTGTGCCTTCCATGGAGAATTACCAGTGGAAGAGAAGGAATCAGAGAATCTTGCTGCTCCCTTTCTCTGTGATCTTGAACAAGTGACCTTCTCTTGGCCCCAGTCTTCTTAGTTGTGAAATGTGGACAATGGTAACAATAGCAGCCCATGAGGTTGCTGTGAGGATTAAATGAGACGATCTCCAGAGTGCTTATTAGTAAACAGTGAAGGCTCGCACAGACGTGTGCTGACAAAATTCACGTAGGGTAGGTGGTATTTTAGGCCCTTTTTTTTTTTTTTTTTGCAATTCTTACCTACTAAAACCTATTTCCTTACATTTTATTTTATTTTTTTTTTATTTTTTTTAAAATTTTTTTTTTCAACGTTTTTATTTATTTTTGGGACAGAGAGAGAGCATGAACGGGGGAGGGGCAGAGAGAGAGGGAGACACAGAATCGGAAACAGGCTCCAGGCTCTGAGCCATCAGCCCAGAGCCCGACGCGGGGCTCGAACTCACGGACCGTGAGATCGTGACCTGGCTGAAGTCGGACGCTCAACCGACTGCACCACCCAGGCGCCCCTTCCTTACATTTTAAAGTGACTAGAGGTTTGCTGTTCACTTTCATTCTAATAATAGAGCACAGGAAAGTTAGTTATTTCTCTCTGTCCCTTAATTAATAATCCTAATGCTATCAGCTATTAAAATAGCATTCGCCCCTTTTCTCTATTTAGAATAATTATTTTAGTATTTCTCAAATTTTGTTCAGTTCTCTGTATGTATTATAACTCGGCTCTTATTTACTGTACTGTCAGGCTTTTCAGTATTGAGTGTACCTTTCGCTATTTATACTTTTTTTTTTTAAGTTTATTTTATTTAAAACAATTTTTTTTTTCAACGTTTATTTATTTTTGGGACAGAGAGAGAGACAGAGCATGAACGGGGGAGGGGCAGAGAGAGAGGGAGACACAGAATCGGAAACAGGCTCCAGGCTCCGAGCCATCAGCCCAGAGCCTGACGCGGGGCTCAAACTCACGGACCACGAGATCGTGACCTGGCTGAAGTCGGACGCTTAACCGACTGCGCCACCCAGGCGCCCCTTAAGTTTATTTTATTTAGAGAGAGACAGCACACAGGGGGAGGGGCAGAGAGAGAAAGGGAGTGAGAGAATCCCATGCATGTTCTGCACTGTCATTGCAGAGCCTAATGCAGGGCTCAATCCCTTGAACCGTGAGATCATGATCTGAACTGAAGCCAAGAGTCATATAGATGCTCAACCAACTGAGCCACCCAGGCACCACTAGCTACTTATGCTTTAAAGCATCAGTGCTGATACACAGCCTTACTGATAGGCAGATTATTATGAATTGTGGCCTATTTAAGAAATGTAATTTTCATAATTTTAAGTGTGTGTATAATTTGGGGCACCTGGGTGGCTCAGTCGATTGAGCGTCTGACTTCAGCTCAGGTCATGACCTCACAGCTTGTGAGTTCGAGCCCCACATCAGGCTCTGTGCTGACAGCTTGGAGCCTGGAGCCTGCTTCGGATTCGGTGTCTCCCTCTCTCTCTGCCCCTAACCCACTCACATCCTGTCTCTGTCTCTCTCAAAGATGAATAAACATTAAAAAAAAATTTTTTTTAATAGCTTAAGTGTGTGTATAATTTAAACTCTTCCACTAATCGTTGCTTATTAGAGATTCTTCAGAAATTTGTATATTTGAGCTGATGACAGTGTTTACAAAGACCATATTATTTGGTTGCACATAAGTGACTTCTAAAAAGCTGGGGTCCTTGTAAGAGTACTTAATCTCTTTGATTTTAATTATGCTTCCCCCCAGTTTTTTTTTATTTCTATTACCAAAATATTAATATATTACTATTATGAAAATAAACCCAATTCTGTTTAACAACTCTGAATTGTATACATGTAAAATCACTTTCCTCTAGCTCTCTTTTTCTATCCCTATTCCTACCTGTACTTGGATATAAGCTTACAAGCCACACAGAGACAGGACAGCTGGGTGGTTCAGATGGTTAAGCATCTGACTCTTGATTTTGGTTCAGGTCATGATTTCATGGTTCATGGGATCAAGCCCCGTGTCAGGCTCTGTGCTGATAGCACAGAAATTCTGTCTTGGGATTCTGTCTCTCCCTTTCTCTCTGCCCCTCTCCTGCTCACTCTCTCTCTCAAAATAAATAAATAAATAAACTTAAAAAAATAATCACACAGAGTACATCTTACACATTTATAAAATAACTACAGGAAAATGGGGAAAAATTAGCCTGTAAATTAGATCTTTCCGTATTCTAGTTGACTTAATGAAGGTAAGTAGCAGAGCTCAGCAGAAGAAAACATGATTCTGCCTATGGGTCTGTGTTTGTGTGGATGTGCACACATAAATATTACATGCGTGTTCTAGTTAGGGTAACTAGCTATGTATATAAGGGGGCAATGGAGAGTAGAAGGGTGTGGTATGGAGTTAGAATGTTTGCATTCCGAGAAAATACAAAGACTTTTGTTGAGGATAAGACTCAACACTGTAGCATAAGATTGTATCATATACATGTGACCCTTGAAAAATGTGGGTGTTCAGGGTCACTGACCCCTGGTGCACTTGAAAATCCCTACATAACTTAGGACTCTCCAGAACTTAACTACAACAGCCTACTGTTGACTGGAAGCATTATGATAACATAAACAGTTGGTTAACACATATTTTGTATGTTATTGAATGTATTATATACTACATTCTTAAAATAAGCTAGAGAAAAAAATGTTGTTAATAAAAATCATAAAGAAAATATATTTATAGTACCATACTGTATTTATTTTAAAAGGTCCATGTGTAAGCAAGCAGACCCACACAGTTTGGACTTGTGTTCAATGGTCAGCTGTGTATGTTTTCTGATAGTAAAATGACAAATACTGTTTTATGTTGTTATAGTACCATACCATATATAATGAGGAATCAGAAGATGCTTCCCTTATCTCCCCCTGCTTAACACAGCTATGGTTTTGATTGTATGGAAATTGTAGCTCCATTATCCTTGTATTATAGCATATAATATTAGTTTCTTTACTTTTCTTAGTATTTTAATCTGTTGTTATATTTATAAGACTTCATTCACAATTAATTTTAATCCAAGGTGTTTTGAAAAATTATCAATAAATAGGTCTATCCCAGAAAGATAGTGTGTATAGTTTTACAGAATTCTCCATGTTATACTAAAATATTCACATGTGCATCATTGTAACTCAGTCCTCTGTATAACAGTGTTTAATAGTTTTTCTTTCTGTGCTGGCTTCATTAAGGCTTATATATATTCTGCCCAGAACACCTGTTAGTCAGAACATACCCAATTTGTGCATTAGAAAATGCAGTTATCTGCTTTCTTAAAATTTTCTTATCCTTCAAAATGGTATTAACTGGGTGTTGTGTTTTTTTGTGTTTGTTTTTTTTTGTATGTGTTTTTCTATTTTGCTTGGCTCTTTGAACATTTCTGGACTCCTTATTTTAGAAGGTAATTATGTTTTCTTTTGCTTGAAAATTCTTGTTTCTCTGCTGTAAAAGATTCTAATAAAAGTAACATGTTTCTCTTTTATAGGAAAAACCTTTCAACTCTACTCTCATAATCTTATAGCTTTGTTTGAACAAGCCAAAAAACCAGGATTAGCTGCCCATATTCAAACTCATAGGTTTCCAGACCGCATACTACCAAGGTACAAAATATTTTAATTCTATTGGGAGTGAAGGGCCTTAGTGTCTATTTTTAAAACAGCCAGTATTCCTTGCCCACTAAAAAACTTCCTTTGTTTTAATTTTGAAAGGTAATTTACACCAAAGTGCATGTCATATAGAATGCAAAAGATGAGTGTTTCCTTAACTTGACCATGCAGGAGAATCACCTGTAGAAGTATTATAAATACAAATTTCCAGGCCCTGCCTCAGTCCTAGAAAATGAGATAGTTTGGGGTCAGAATCCAAGACTGTTTTTTTTAAAGCTGCTTGACTGATGCAACTAATTCACAGATCATTGTTTGGGAACCACTGCAGTAGAGTACATTTATATTGTCCTATGTTTTCAGAAAGTTTGCTTTAACAACAAAGATTCCTGATACAAAAGGCTGCCACAAATGTTGCATAGGTGAGTAAATGCTATTTTTCAAACTGGATAATTAGAACTTTGAACATTTTTTTAATTCTTTAAGGCTATGGAGAGTCTTATAGTATCAAATAGGAAGGAAAGGAGCCTTTATATTTCTTTTTAAAGAGTAGTTAAGGGGCCATTGGAGCACAAGACTCTATGGCAGGACATGGCATAAAAATGTTTAGAGGTAATAGTCCTAATGCTTTCACAGAACATAGTGTTCCTACAGCGTTCCTGGTTTTTAACCATAGTCCCTGAGGCTGTATCTCTGCTAATGTCCTAGTTTATCATTTATTACTTACCATTTATTTAACACTTTCATTTTACATAACTGTTATTGCGTAGTGCTTTACAAAGATCATTATTACAGGAGTTTAGCTAACTGAAGTTAGAGGGAACAGTCTACACAAGACCACCCTCACTTCTGATACCAGTTGCAAGTTTGGGGGGTTTCCAAAAACACCCTCATGTTAAAAAAAATTCTCTAGAAAGACTCAGGACTCACTGAAAGTAGTTACATCCATAGTTATGGTAGGGATAGAGATTAAGATCAGCCAAGAGAAGACGTTCATAGGGCAGAGTCCAGGAATAGTGCCAAACATAGAGCTTCTGTCGTCCTCTCCCCATGGAGTAATGGGCAGTGTTACTTTTCTGGCAGTGATGTGGGATGGTGCACATGGAGTACTGCCACAGGGAGCATACATCAGCCTCAATACTCAACAGTTTTTATTAGGGCTCCATCACACAGGCATGATTGATTGTCTACATGGCTGATCTCAATATCCAGTACCTCTAGAGGTCAGTTCGTACTGTATGACCCAAAGCCCCTACTCTAAATCACATTGTCAGTCTTTTGGCATGACTGTCCTTCACCCTAAGAACGTCCAGCATTGCAAGCCCCCAATCTAAATCATATTGTTGAGGCAATTCATTGACACAGGGCCCCAGGCAAATGAAGACACTCTTATCAGACATGACATTCTCCTGAGGCCTAGAGATTACCTTCCAAAGTGGGGGCGGGGGGGGGCGGGGTGCGGAGGTGGGCACAGGCTAGACCTCTTTTGGAGCAAGGTTAAATTCTTTACTGTTTAATTATCTTATCTCATTTAACCCTCAGATAACCCCATGATACCTGGGATCAGATACCCAGATACCTGGGATCAGACCCAGTCTAATGACTTCAGATCCTGGGCTCATAACTTCCTGTTTAATTCTGTTTGTTGAAGCAGTGAGTGTATTCATTGGTCTTCATGCTGCATAGTTGCATAGCATATGTTCCTAGTTATAAACAAATTTCATGAGCATTTTCTAGGAAGAATCAGGTTCATATCTATTATCAGATTCCCAAGATCTATGACTCAAGAAAGGTCTAGAAGCTTATATATAATCTAAGATATAAACTCATAAATACATTAAGGTAGAGCTTATTGCAAATAACTACTCTTGTAATTGGTACACATAATTGTTGATGAGAGTCAAATTGGGGAGAAGGACAGACCAATATGAGTTTTTGTAGATTTGAGTCAAGAAAGTTACATCTTTAGTAAAATGTAAAAGTTAGGAAACTAGCAAACTAGTAAGACAAGTTTCCATCTTGACTTAAGTAGACAACTGTAAACTACTATACCAAGAATGAAATCATAGATTTCGTTTACTTCCTAGACCTTCTCTTTCACTCAATTTACTTAAAAAACAAACAAAACAAAAAACAACAAAACCCAGCTCTTTAGGTTGCAAGTAAGTTTAGGTGTTTTAGTGCTTAAAATATCATCCTCGTAGAAATTTCCTATGTTTAACAACGTAGCCTACTGAAGATGTTTAGAAGTAAATGTGTATGATTTAAAATTGAGATAAAGTGAAAAGGAAGGAGTAACAAAGCCAGAAGAGAAGACATCATCTTTCTTTACTTACTGTTACCACCCTGGTGAATAGAAACAATGATTTTCCTTTACCAGCTAAATTATGACTTAAAATAGTTTCTTCTTCCATCCATATTTTGATATTGATGGCAGGCCACATTTCATTGTTTTTCCCATAGATCATCCCTGCCTTTATAAAGAAAGTGAGTTAGCTCTTATATTAGCATAGCTCAGTTGTTACTTTTAATTAACTAAACTAATTATGTTTTCACATCAAGGTAGTCAGTGTTTTGGTTATGTCTGTTCTGCTTTGTTTCTTTCCAGTCAGAAACCCTTACACAGGACATAAATACCTCTGTGGAGCTTTACAGTCTGGAATTGTTTTACTCCAGTGGTATGAGCCTATGCAGAAGTTCATGTTGATAAAGGTACATATTACTCTGTAGTTTTCTTCTTTAGAAAATACTAGTGTGTAACTGAAGCTGAAAGTACAAGATCTCAGTACTACTGTCTAGGGTCAGCACATTTATAGTTATTTATGGGTGTTTACTTGGTTTAGGAGTTCTTGCATTCTTGTTAAGATTTCTTCTTTAACTTATGTCAATAAGCTTATAGAAGCATTGCAACCATAAAGATGAATATGGCCAGTTCTCTAAAACTATTTTATAGAAAACTCATCCTTATCAAGATGTTAGATGTAATCCTTTTTTGGAGTAGATCAATCAAGGAGAAAATGAAAGCCTTTTTTTGGCTTTATTCAATGGTATGAGTGGAGAGATTGTTTCTAAGTTATACTTCTGTTTGTTTTTTCTCAGCACTTTGATTTTCCTTTGCCAAGTCCTTTGAATGTTTTTGAAATGCTGGTAATACCAGAACAGGAATACCCTATGGTCTGTGTAGCTATTAGCAAGGGCACCGAGTCAAATCAGGTCGTTCAGTTTGAGACAATCAATTTGAACTCTGCATCTTCATGGTTTACAGAAATTGGCGCAGGTAAGTGTTTTTAACCTGATGTTAAAACACTGATGCTTTTGCATGTAAAAGAATCAGAATAAGCTCAGTTAGCATGGGCTGGTTCAGAGCGTCAACATAGTTTCCCAAGTAAGCCCAGAGGAACATGTATGTAATAGTTTATGATCTCTATTTGCCTGAGGCAATTGATACAAATTATTTTACCAAGGCAAAGTTTAATGATTCCTGACATATAAAGACCTTAAAATGTTACCACTTAATTTTTGAACTTAATAAATAAGTTTTCTACGGTATTTTTCAAATGTTATCAGCTTCTCAAGCAAAGAGATTTAGCTTGGTTCCTATCAGTTTCCCCACACACACACTTCCTAGAATCATTATGTTCAAGTGCTTTTCAGACTTGACTAGAAGCTTCTCAGGTGTGACCTCCAAGCTTTACCATTTAAAGATACAGGGAAATAGCTCTTGGACTTTCTTAGAATGATTCGTTTGCCTAGGATTTTATCAAATATGTCTCAGTGAAAGCTCTAAAAAGGTTGGGAAGCTGATTCTTAAATTTTAAAGTTGGAACAAATCAACCAAGAATTTATTTTTTAAATCTGCATAGTAAGTGAAATGAAGGGAATCTTTTACCTTTTTTTGTGCTAATATATTATTTGATCATCCGTAACCCTGTATTTATCATCTTTTTTTTTACATGTGAAGTCAAGCAAGCTTCAGTGATAACTATTTCATTACTTACCACATAATATCCTCTATTACCTTGTGAAGAAGTTTGTTACAAGTATCAAGTTTGATGATTCTTATTAAATATCTTTGGCTTTTGCTCATTTGTAAGGCTAAATTGCAAGAATTCTTTATACAACCCAGCTATTGAAGTTATTGTAGAACCACACTAATGGCACTTTGAGAATAAGAATCAACATGAACCAGTGGTGTCCTAATAAATGTTTAACAACAGGCACTTGGGGTGCAGAGAAGCCTGGCTTGTAATAGTTGCCAATTCTGTGGTATAAATACTCCCACCAAGGGAATATTTCAAACTACCAACCTTATGTCATGTGGCTCACAAAATTCCTGCAAATTTAACAACCCAGTTCAAGCCAGTTCCAGCATGCACGTGACTATAATCACTTTCTTTATGGACCAAGTCATAATTTATAGTAAAGTAAGATTGTATTCTGTGCTGTCCCACCCCACCTACACTCCACCCCTTCTTTAACTTAATTGTTTAATGCTTTTGGTTGAGTTAGATGCATCCCTTCCTGTACAGCTGACAGATACAAATGACGTTGTTTTGTTATCCTGAAATATAAGCAGCCCAAATAGAAACATGTTTCTATTGTGTAGTTACTGTAAAAGATGGGTTAAAGATCAGTTTATTTAAAAACCAAGATCATTTTTGGCAGATAGCCCTAACTTTTTTTTTTCCTACTGGTTAGTATATGATAATAGTATAGAGCAAGTCATTTCATACAATTATTTAATATGTGTTTGCATCCACTTGCTTCTATTTGATATATTAAGTTGCATTGCTCAGGGGTAGTCATTTAGTTAGTCCTCTTTTGAATTTGTGGGGGGGGGGGGGTTGAGGGTTTTTGTTGTTGTTGCTGTTTGGTTTTTTAATGCTTGAGGGTACTATTCTACCCACTTTTAACATTGTCTACGCTAAAATTAAGGCATACCCAAAATTACTTTCTGAGAGAGAGCTTGGACTCTGCTTAAGGTTAATCATTCACATCACCCGCTAGCAATGGTTGTCCTTATATTACGTAGGCTTCTCCATTTTTGCAAATGATTGTTAATCTACCTCCCGTCTGTCTTCATTTTTGAGGTCAGGCCTTGAATTGGCAACAGTTGTAACAGTTAAAATGAACTCCTGTTCTAAGACTGTCTTCAGTTTTAGTCTGATTTATTATTGTAGTATCTTTATCTCCAAGGATGGTCTTTAGCCTGTTATCAGCACTAAGTAAATATTTGCTGAATAAAAGCATGTATATAGATTTGTTGAGAAAACTATTTTTTGGAGTGTTGCCTGAGGAACCAACAGTTTATTTTTTAATTTCTTTTAATTTCAGTTTAAATTCTTGTCTTTGAATGGGCTTTGGAAGGTCCAAAACACCCCAAAATAATATATAAAATTTTGTGTTTGTGTCAGATGTGCAGTTTGTAGGGAGAGGATCCATGGGCTTCCCAAAGAGATGTAATTAAAAATGCCCTAAACTATCTAAAATCTTTTCTTCAATTTAGCTAGACCATTCAAGCAATCTGAGTGCCTAAAATGAATGATTTTACCAAAATGTTTTACAAAAATGTCATCACATCTGTTAGCAGAGCGGCCCTGTGAATATCAGCAAAGTTCTGAAAGTTGCTTCCTTCAAAGATGTTGTTGACAGTATTGTTCATTATATTACTGTGTCCTCTTAATAAAGGAAGTCCTACTTATACATGCACACACCCCAACACCAGGAACGTTTCTCTTTGATCATAGTTTCATTAATCTTTTTTGCTTTTTCTGAATTACTGACTTATTTTTATCTCAGATGCTGTGATCACCTAACTGATGAGCTTGTTTCCGTCCTCCCATTGGTTACTATAAAATACACAGCAAAATCTAGTCATTGTATAGCATGCATTTACTTTCTTCCCCATATTTACCGTTGGCTTCAATTTATGTTTGTAACATCTTTCTAGAACTAGCTGAGGTATTAGTTAAATGTAAACTTGAGCTTTTCTCAGCTCATTTAGCCATGCTTAGCATTTTAAGTTCTTTTCTAAGTTGACCTACGTAAATTTTTCTTAGAGATAACATAATTACAAAATACAATTTCTGTGTTAAATTTCAAAGACTAGTTTTAAATCACAGAAGAAAATAAGAATTTGTGTTGCTTTTCTAAGCTTTGGTTTTTAAAGCCTGTTGTGTAATGGTAACCCTGTTTTTTTTTTTTTTTTTTTTTTACCCCTTCTAAGGCAGCCAACAGCTGGATTCCATTCATGTAACACAGTTGGAGAGAGATACCGTTTTAGTGTGTTTAGATAGTAAGTACTATCTTAAAGTTTATTCTGAGTATACTGCTTGATATAACAGATCTTTTCATGGAATTGATTCTATTAAGCTATAATTCAAGATTTTTACTTTTCCACCTTAGGTTTTGTTTTATTGATGAAAATCCTAAATTGGCTACAGATATTGTAATTAATTGGTTTGTTAATACTACTCTCTGTGACTTTTTCTTTATTTTGTTTGGCTACTTGGAAACGCACTAGATAGTTTGCCATTACCGCGGAGTAAAATTTTGTGTAAAACTATTATGTGTAAATTCTGTATAAAACTATTCTGAGGGTTTTTTCCTACCTCATTATAATTGGAAATAATAGAAGGTTATACTAGTATGGTCACTTTGTCATATAGCATGAACGTTTAGAATCATGTAGAAGTGACAGTGTAATGTACAGACAGATTTGACATCCTCACCTGCTAGTTGTGATTCTTTTTTTTTTTTTTTTTAATTTTTTTTAACGTTTATTTATTTTTTTGGGACAGAGAGAGACAGAGCATGAACGGGGGAGGGGCAGAGAGAGAGGGAGACACAGAATCGGAAATAGGGTCCAGGCTCTGAGCCATCAGCCCAGAGCCTGACGCGGGGCTCGAACTCACGGACTGCGAGATCGTGACCTGGCTGAAGTCGGACGCTTAACCGACTGCGCCACCCAGGCGCCCCTAGTTGTGATTCTTTTGATGCAGGGAGAGATGTTATTGATAGATGTGTGTTGTACTATAAGCAATAGAGAAGCAGAAAAAACTTCAACAACAGAAATTATTTCAGTTTTCAAATGAAGCAGTCTGGTTCTTAAAAACTCACCTTATTTTTATGCAGCACATTGTGCAAAGTGAAATTCACCAAGACTTAGAATTATACTTGAAACTTGGCAATCTTTGCTATGTTTTGTCCATCCCAGTGTTTTTTCAATTACTGGACCTGCCCATAGGTGTTCAGGGTAATTTTAAAAATTGCTCTACTACTTAATTTGCCTGTATTTTTGTCCTAACTTCTGTTCTCTAAAGAGTTCCTTAGTGGATTTCCCTTAGGGCATCATAAAGACCATCTCATATTATAGACAAGTGAACAAACCCCAAGTGTTTCATTCACCCATCATCCTTTCTTTAAGTATTTTTGATTCTTTGAATACTGGTAAGATTGGAGTGTTCTTCTGTTACCTTAAAGTATATTTAAGAAATTCTTTTTTATCTAACCAAGTGGGAAGTTCAGTACTGATTAAGCAAATAATCAGAATTTAATTTTAATAATATTGATCCTTTAATGTTGAAATCCCTAAAAACCTTCTGAGTCATCTAAGGAAAATAAATTGTGCTTAGTTTTCATTTTGCATTTTATATATTTTATCAAAATATATTTATATTTTATATATCTTATCAAAAATGTTTTTAAAAGCTTTGATTAGCTAGGCCCTCTATATCCCAATTATTCAAAGTAAATGGAAAGTTGACTTTCTTGAGGTTTTTAAAAGGGAGTAGAGTAAGACGTTTATAATGAGTTGCCAACTATACAGTATAAGTCAGTTTCAGTAAGCAACAGTGGAGACAGGCCTATAATCACAAATCATAGTAGACAGATAAGAAAGTAATACACAGAACAGGTGTCTTCCAAGTCAGAGCTAAAGATGGTTAAATTAAAAAACAAATAGATGAAAAATAGATTTGTGTATACTCACCATCCCAGAGTTTACTTATAAGAAATTATGACCCTTGAAAAGTACTATTTTTTGCCCCTGTATGCCTCTGTAGAATACTATTCACATACTAAAGTTATGAATTGCTGCAAATATTACATATCATATGTTATATAATGTGTAAGGGAAAAATTTTACTGATTGCTGAGTACTTGAACACCAAGTAGACACTTTGAAACATCATGCTTTTTAAAAATTGAGGGTGTAAGTGTTCCATATATCCTAAATGAAAAAAAAATAGCAGTGAAATTGCCATTTACTAAATGGTACTTTTATATCTTATAAAACATAATGACAGTTTTCACCGGTCATGCTTGAATCATGATAAATAGCTGAACTTAATTAAGACTGTTTGTTCTATATCCATGTAGAATCCACATATCAAGTTACATTTATTTTAGCAGATTTTCATTTCCAGTTTTGACTTGCTTTTTCTTTTTTTTAAGAATTTGTAAAAATAGTAAATCTACAAGGAAAACTAAAATCAAGTAAGAAACTGGCCTCTGAGCTAAGTTTTGATTTTCGCATTGAATCTGTAGGTAAGTCTCCCTTATTATTTTTTTAACTTAAATATAATTGACATACAATATCCTGTTTGAGGTATACATCATAGTCATCTGATATTTTTATATATTATGAAATGATCCCCACAATAAATGTGGTTGCCATCTGTCACCATACAAAGTTATTACAGCATTGTTGACTTTATTCCTTATACTGTACATTACATCCCTGTGACTTCTTTGTTTTATAACTGGAAGTTTATTCCCCTACAACTATTTTGCCCAAGCCTCCTTTTTTAATAATGTGTTCAGAATACTTGACTTTTTGTTCATTCCCTACTTAGGATTGTCTAGACCAGCACTGTCTCATAGAAGTTTCAGTGATAGAGAAATGTTCTGTGTGCTCTTAAGTATAGTAGTCATTAGCCGTACCTGTTGAGTACTTGAAACATGGCTAGTGCTACATTTTAATTTTGTAAATTTTAATGTGTTTTTAATGTTAATAGCCACATGTAGCTAGTCGCTATGTTGTATTGGACAGTGCAGGTCTAGATCATAATCTTTTATTGTTATTTCCTGGGTATTTAAAACTTGAAATCATTTTTTAAAATTTCTGTTCATTGTTCCCTTTGCTGCATGAAGTGAATTAAGTACTTCTCCCAGTTTTTTCCAAATCATTAAGGTATTTGTGTGATGTGATTAATGGTGTTAGATATGCTGTAATTCTTTGCCATGTAAGATGGGGTGTGCTGATGGTTATTGCTTTTAGGTCTATTTATATATAAATAACTAGTTTCCCACGGGACTCGGAAACTAATATGCCATTTTAATTTGCTTCCTTTTCAATGAGTGTTTCACTCTGTGTAATTACTCATTGGTTTTATGATAAAAATTATTATATTTTATTATTGTTTGCATCCTCATTGGTTATTTGTCAGTAAATATTTTCCCCAGGGATGATAGAACTTAGGGGAAAAAAATACCATGGCTGGGAATATTTTGAACAATTTATGATATGACTCTACTGTAGGTCAAAAATAGTTAAAACAAAGTTGGCAATTTGGACCATAAAAAATGCATGTTTCTCATTAAATGTTAAATGTTTCTCATTACTTAGAAAGTTTTTATCCTAAGTATTTTAATGGTTTCTTAACTGGAATTTTGCCCTGTCGCAAAGTATGTTCATCCCACTATGTAAATATCTTACATAAAAGTAATTTGCTTGCAGTTGGAAATTTTAATTTATTGAAGCAGGAAACCTGAACTTTCTGTAGATGGTAGGACAGAAGGGATGTTGGAACTAGTTTCTTCTTTTACTCCTTTATGTGCTGGATACTGCATACCAATTTCTAAGATTTAATATTTTCAGTAGGGATTCTGACATACAGATCTTTAGTTCCTTTTTATTTTTTTTAATTTTTTTTTCAACTTTTTTTTTTTTGGGGGGGGGGCACAGAGAGAGACAGAGCATGAATGGGGGAGGAGCAGAGAGAGAGGGAGACACAGAATCGGAAACAGGCTCCAGGCTCTGAGCCATCAGCCCAGAGCCCAACGCGGGGCTCGAACCCACGGACCGCGAGATCGTGACCTGGCTGAAGTCGGACGCTTAACCGACTGCACCACCCAGGCGCCCCAGTTCCTTTTTATTTTAACTGAAACATACTGCTACCTAAACTTTTTTATACATGCCACATTTTTTTTAGGGAATTTTAATTGTTACACAAAAGTTTGGTTGTCTTAAGCTATCATCCCTCCTTGCTAGTGAACTTTGAAATAATTACAAGGATCCTGCTGGGTAAAGAAAAAGAGCCCCTTTAAATCACTTTTTAAAAATAAAACCAGTAACTGGGTTTTTTATTTGTCACAGTTAGTGAAACTTGTGTGATTTGTTATGTAAGATACTTTTATTTTCAGTGAGCTAACTTAACCCAGAACATTTTTACATTAACTTTTTACAGACTCCATGTTCTAGTAAGAAATAAAATGCTTCAATCACATTCTCCCCTTACCTTTACTGGTGTAGGGCGTATGGCTAACTCTCCAACAATCAAATGGGTTCTCTCCCTCATTCTTCCTTCCTTCCTCCCTCCCTCACTGACTGTAGTTTCATGACTGCAGCCTCCTCCAGGAAGGGCCCAGAGGCCCTGCTCCCCTTCCCCACAATTGTGGAGCCTGCCTCCTCTGTTTCTGAACCTCTAAGTTACCCCATAAGGGTGCCTCAGTGGGCCCAGGCCTGTGCTTGAAACCAGGCAGAACATAGAGATGGATAAGGCACAGCAGGAACAGGTCTCCCCCCAGAGACCTTCAGGCCACACCAGGGGAACATGGGAGATGGGTGAGGAGCAGGAGGGGCTGAAGCATGCCATGTGGCCATACTTTGGGGTCATGGTCACTCCTGAATCCAAAGCCACTGGGAAGGTGGACATGCTTGGCTGTGAAGTGTCATAAGGACAGTGGGGCCTACAAATCCAGGGCAGAGGCACAGGAGCTCCGTGCAACAGCAGTGACTACTCTAACTGGTAGACCCTCCCAGTAAGAATTGGCTCACAGATCATAAATATTCAGTGTGTGGTTACATTTTGGATTGTAAGGTTTATTTTTTCAAATAAATGTTGTAATAGGGAGAATGTGAGTATAAATAAAAAGATGCTTCCTTTTAGCTATTCTAAATATATAACAGTATTTAAATAACCATGTTTTTGATCCAAAAAAACAATTATGTGTGTTTTATTATTTTATTCACCTAAGACAAAAGATAGTATATGAAAGAGAAATTAATATGTTGATATCCAGCTCATCAGAAGTTAGCCTGTGTCTAAACGAATGCCTGTTACATATGTCTTTGAAAGCTTTCATGACCCTGCCTCAATAAATTATTTGAGCTTAGGCATGGCTTGGCCACAAACATGTTGGGAACAGATGGTCTAGACAGTGGGATCTTGCACCAAGCACTTGGGGAGAGCTTTACATTAGTATTTATTAAAAACAGTTAAAGAAAATGTATAATGAATTACTCTGTGCTTTATTTTAGTTTCAGTTCTCTCTAATCTTTTTTAGTATGCCTTCAAGATAGTGTGTTGGCTTTCTGGAAACATGGAATGCAGGGTAAAAGCTTCAAGTCAGATGAGGTAAGATTTCTTAAATTACCTCCAAAGTTGAAACATTCATTTGATGAATTTTCTTTCTGGACCCACATTACCATGTTTAGTGCCTTTAATGCTATGAACTGGTAGAGCAAAATTGCCAGTATTTTCCTTTCAGATAATGTTCAGTTTCTTACTCATTGTATGATTCTTCTGTGGCCACAAGGAATTGTCAAACATGAGTTTGCACACTTACAGTCCTCTCATCTGTCATTTGTAAATGTGGTTGCCAAGATTGCTTATACTTCTCTAAATTTAATAAGCCTTTTCCATACTCTATAAATGTGTAGCTTATTTTTAATATTACACTTAAAATTCTAAATTTATATGTATTAGATCACAGGACTAAGGAAAAAAATCTAAGAAAATTCACTCATTTAGTAGATACTTATTGAGTACCAACTACGTACAAGACACTATTATTACAGCACTATAAGGTATAATGAAGTGTTACAAATAATATCAAACCTTTATAACATCTGTGTTTCAGGCACTTTACAAATATTAGCTTATATTTAAGGCTAATAATTAAATGGGGTTAGGTCCTATTCATATTCCCGTTTTTTTTTTCTTTTTTATAGGCACAGACTGGTTAAGTAACTTGCCCAGAGTTAAGTGGCTAGTTAAATGGTAGAGTCTGGATTTTTTTTTTTTTAATTTTTTTTTTCAACGTTTATTTATTTTTGGGACAGAGAGAGACAGAGCATGAACGGGGGAGGGGCAGAGAGAGAGGGAGACACAGAATCGGAAACAGGCTCCAGGCTCCGAGCCATCAGCCCAGAGCCTGACGCGGGGCTCGAACTCCCGGACCGCGAGATCGTGACCTGGCTGAAGTCGGATGCTTAACCGACTGCACCACCCAGGCGCCCCTAGAGTCTGGATTTTAAGGGTCTCCAAAAATCACTTCTAGCTAAGATAATCAGGCTACATTTCATGCAGGAGATGAGACTTGGAATTCACCTTGAGAGATGAATCCCAATAGTTAGCTAACATGTACCATTTCCCACTCGTGTCTTTTACACTATAGTCTCACACATGTGTGGACTTATTTTAAAGCTAAGTCTTCTACTTGAATTATCTCTAGTTTTATCCATGCTCTTGTATATATGTAACTGATTATTTGTACCTTTTCCATGAACATGGGATTAGAATGCTTCCAAGAGAAAATGACATAAATCAGCTGTCTTTGGATATGTCAGTTTACTTACGTCACTAAATGTCACCAGACCCCTGCATTTAATGAAACCTGTAGCCCTACTTACTGCCATAAAATTAATTGTCCCTAGATCCTTTTTACAGTGTGCCACTCCTGTGGTTGGAAATCTGCAGAAAATACTTGATGTTCACTATATTAAGTACAATTGTATTTCCTTTTTTTAAACTCATTTTGCTTACCTCTTTATGTTCTCATCCTTCAATTTGGGCCTAGCTATTATATTTATAAAGTAATATTCAACCATTCCAGTCCACAGTGATTGGCACATTTCTGGACTTACTCTCTGAAAATCAGCTCCATGTGGTATAGCACCTCATTAATTTCCCACTTCAAGTTTACTAATTCTGTCTTCCCAGCTAGACTACAAGTTCATTGATAACAGACTATTTTTATACTTATTTTATATCCACACTTTTATAGTTTGGATTCCTCCAAAAGCTTGACCCTAAGACAAGGAATCAAGTGCAGGTAGTTTATTGGTAGTAGATCCCAGAAAACAAGTGATGGAGTGCAGAGTATAAGATGGAGAGGGGGAAAAGCCATTAAAGAGCACATTAATAAACTGGTTCCCACTATGGGCAACCAGGGCTTAATCCCAAAGGGACCACTGAGGAAGGGTATAGAGCACACCTCAAAATAGACTCATTTGAAGGTGGGGAGGCTGGTGCGTTTACACACCAACTGCTGTCCCTCTTGAGTAAGGGTTACTCCCAAGGGTATAAACTCCCCACATTTGGGAATTGTACCTGTGCATGTGTCAGTGTACCTTCTACAGCTTTGGAGAAAACAGAGCAAAGGAATACCATAGGTAATACTGATGTAAGACACTAGCACATGGAAGTGCCCACCACAACTCTGTGGAACTCAGGGGCCTGTGGGGCCACCGTGAGCATCTGCACTGACACAAAGGGAAGAGTAGGGGCTCTGCAGTCCAGCAAACCTGTATTCAAATCTTGGGTCTGCCAGTTAGATGGTCTTAAGCAAGTTATTCAACTTCTCTGAGCCGTAGTGGTTTTTTCCCCAATAATATGGGGATTATAATATATATCACAAAGAGTTATTCTAAGGAAAGTACCTGACCCATACCAGATGTTCCATAAATACTGGTTTATTTCTACCATTAAGGCAGTCAAAAAAACTTACGAAAATTTATTTCACTTGAGGAATTGAGCCTATCAAAAATTATCCATCTCTTTAATAATGGTTCTAAGTGGTTTTTAAATTATGATTTAAATAATATGGGGATAAAGGTATTACTGATATTTTCTTTCATAGGTTACCCAGGAAATTTCAGACGAAACAAGAGTTTTCCGCTTATTGGGATCAGACAGGTAATAGTTTGGTTGTTTTAATTTCATTACCAAAGGAATTTAGTGGTTGTGTTCTTAATTCTAACATCAGCCTATAACTGTGTTTCAAACAAAATTCTTAGAAGGCTCAGCAACTCTGAGAAATAACCCTGTATCGGGGCGCCTGGGTGGCTCAGTCGGTTAAGCATCTGACTTCAGCTCAGGTCATGATCTCACGGCTTGTGAGTTCGAGCCCCGCGTCAGGCTCTGTGCTGCCAGCTCAGAGCCTGGAGCCTCTTCAGATTCTGTGTCTTTCTCTCTCTCTCTGCCCCTCCCCTGCTCACTCTCTGTCTCTCTCTGCCTCTCAAAAATAAATAAACATTAAAAAAAATTTTTTTTTCAATATCCCTGTACATTTATTGAGAGAGAAGAATTAGTCGATTAAGCGATCTTTTTGTCAATGTGAAGATCGTGTTTCTAGAGATAGTTACATTCAACCAAGACAAAGTGTGTTTATGTCCCTAGTACCATGACATATTCCAGACCCCTTTTGTTTTCATCATTTGTTCCTGGTTTGTTACCTTCCATTAACTATTACTGCATAAACCCAGCAGGATATGCACCTCCTGACATTTGCTTTTATATCAGAAAACATTCGGCTCCATTTCTGGTCAGTCTAAATTAGAAGGAATTATGTGGTCTCTGTGATCAGAATGAAAGATAAGTTCCAAAACTGCCGTCTTAGGAAAAAATTAGTAGTTTTTGTTCTCCAAAGTCCATATTGTCTACCTGTGCAACTAATAAAGTCCCCTTCCCTTCCTGTCTTCCCACCAAAAGTTGTTAGTGCAGCAAAATTGGCTGTTGTAATATGCATCAGTCCTGAGGCAAGGATTAAGAACCTCTGCTCTTCAAATTCAGGCTAGTCACAGAATCACTATTTGGATGAGCGTCTCGTAGAATCCTGTTTTATTCTCATTCATTCCCTTCTCGTGTATATCATTGACCCTTGAACAACACAGGTTGGAACTGCATGGGTCCACTTGTATGCAGACTTTTTTCAATAGAGTTCAGTACTGTAAATGTATTTTCTCTTATGATTTTCTTAATAACTTTTTTCTCCAGCTTACATTATTGTAAGAATATAGTATATAATGCATATAACATACAAAATATGTGTCAGTCAACTGTTTATGTTATCAGTAAGGTTTCCAGTCGCCAGTAGGTTATTAATAGTTAAGTTTGGGGGGAGTTAAAAGTTATGCATGGATTTTCAACTGTGCAGGGCGTCAGTGCCCTGAACCCTCATGTTGTTCTAGAATCAGCTGTATTCTAAAAGCTTTATTTTACCTTCTATTGGCATATATAAATAAGCAAATTTGATTTTAGTTGGAATAAGATGAGACTGTCCTGAAATGTTTTCAATATTTCATATTCATAAATTCATCAATCCTTATTCAGTTTTGTTTTTAAGCTATAAAGTGTAGAGCAGAATTTGACAGTGCACCTGTGATCTTTTTGAACCGTTATATTCTTTCACGGTTTGATATCAGTATTTGAATGAAGCATGCAATCTCTGTCTTCACTCTTAAGTCTTTTGTTTTGGTTTAATTGCAGGGTTGTCGTTTTGGAAAGTAGGCCAACAGAAAATCCTACTGCACACAGCAATCTGTACATCTTGGCTGGACATGAGAATAGTTACTAAACACCAAAACTATCTCCAGTGACAGGAAAATGAGTATACTCCATTGAAAGCAAAACTCTCTTAAGTTCAGTACAAACTACACTAGGATTTACTTTAGCTCTTAATGGGTTCTATCTCAAGTGATCTGTACTTTAAGGTGGAATTCAATATTTCTGTAGCTGGAAACAGCGATTCTATCTTGCCACTGTGTGGTGGTTATATCAAGTTTGCTTAATAAAAGCTATGAGACAAATAGTCCTCTAGTTCCAGGAAACACAGTCTTTTTAAAAAAAAATAATGTTTGTAACAAGGGTGCCATGATATTTTTAGATAACAGCTCACGTGATTATCTTCAGAAAGATAAATTTAGTGACAGTTTTCTTGTTTTATACCATGTTTGATTCCTTCTTAATGAACATAATTTGATAAAGAAATTATCAAAGAAGCCTTTCACTTTTACATTGGCCATTCTGTATGTTTTTGTAAAATAGAATATTTAATCCTTATTTATTAATCTCTTGCTGGAGTGGTGTAATGTATGTAACTTTTAGCAGAGGAGGGTTTCAGAGCAGCTTAATTTTTTTTATAATGTATAAAAATTTTGTTTACCTTCCAAGAGTAGTACTTTGAGGGGTTAAAGGCAGAGTGTTTGGGTTCAGTACATACATGCAGTTTTACTTAATACAAGTATTTTATAATACAGTATCATCCAGAATCGCCTTAAAAGGGAGTTTTGTGTTTTCAATTATAGATAGTTGCAGGGGGTCATACAGAAGATACTGATAATGGCTGAAGGATTGTTAAAGGGGTATGTATGTCTAGATGTGACTACCATGTGTATGTATTCTCGACAAGCAGTATAATATACCTGTGATTTTTTTTTACATTAGGGATAATGCATAATAAATTAATATTCATATATATTATCATCCCGAATGTAAGGGGGGATGTATTTAACTGCCCATGATATGTATTTTACTTATACTGTACCACAGGGGAAACTGTAAAGCAGCTACATGTGTAATCTTGGGTTTTTTCACATATGTAGGTATTCATTTTGAGTAGGTTTAAGAAAAAAAATATTTAAATGAAATTGAATTCCTGATGGGATAGTATAAACAAGTATTATAAAAACCAGTATTCTGAAAATAAGAAAGGATAGGGCCATTTTTGAGTTTGCTTCTCTTTTGCTATTGTTAGTACTCAGAGTTGAAGTGTCACGTTGGTACCTGTTGTCCTAACACATTTACTGAGAACAGCTAGCATTGAGATCATGAACAAGAGGCTAGCAATAGCAAACTATAGATTACTTCAGCAGTTACTTGAGAAGAAAACAGTAGAACGATCTCATTCAGTCTTTACCAGCTCTGTAAAATAGGGAGTGTTATCATCTCCATTTTCCAGATGAGGAAATAAGCGTTTAGCAAAGTTAAGAGACTTACCCAATTCACACAGCAAGTTGGTGGTTGAGCCAGACCGTGAGTCTTGTGACTCTGTTCTTTTCACTATGCAATACGCAAACAATAAAATGTTATGCAAATAAAATATAAAGTAAATTTTCTTTTAAAATGCACATCGATATGATTTCAGCAAGTGTGTGCCTGTTTATTTTGGGTATGTTAAATGGGGCCCCTGGACTGAAGGACACTGGATACAATAGATGGCAGGGGACCCTACTCAAAACGAAATATTTACATACATACTGGATACAAAGACCAATGCCCTCCTCTCACTGAATCCTGGCAGCCAGACCTTCCCACCCCAACAGTATTGGAAGTCTTCTCTGTGCTTTCTGGCCAGTTCAAGTGGAAAGACCTAAATAGATCCTGACATGAAAATCATAGTTAACATGCCCTCCACTCCATGCATCCAGACCTTGCAGTTAGCCTTATAGTCCTATGATATTAATAATTTTTAAACAACCAAGACATATGCAATACCTGAGGAAAACCTGTAACATAAAAGGGATAAAACAGTTATGGGAAAGAAGCACTTAGAGGCAACAGACTATGCAGGATAATGTCAAAAGAAAAAATAGATATTCTGAAAGATGTTGCAAGTATGAGTCAAGAGTAGAATACTAAAAAAGGAGCTTTCAGAAAATAAAAAGCTCTTAGAAAATATGATAGCATAGCTTAATAATTCAGTAGAAGCTTTAGAATATAAAGTTGAAGAAATTTCTCAGAAAATAAAAAGAAATGGAAACATTGGGGGAAGGGGGGGTAGTTAAGACTAATAGCCGGGGAGGCCCGTTATCCAAAAAAAAACAACAAAGAAGAAATCAGTAGAGTATTTCAAGAAGTTTTTCCAGTACTGAAGAACTTCAGATCCCAGATTGAAAAGACACAATAGATTTAAAAAATCTGTACCAAAGCACATCATTGTGAAATTTCAGAGACATGGGAGCCAAAGAGAAGATCTGTGTTTCCAAAGGAAAGGGGAAAGTCATACATCAAGGAATAAGAATCAGGATAGCTTCAAATTTCACCAGAAGCAGTGCCTTCAAAATTCAGAAAGAAATTTCCAACCCAAACTTCTGGATCCAGATACATTATTAATCAAACCTAAGGGTAAAAATTAAGATATTTTTGGTGGTACAAGCTCTCAAAAACTGTACCTCCCATATAGCCTTTCTCAGGAAGCTACTACAAGATGTGCTTCATAAAAATAAGGGCATAAATTAAGCAAAATGAAGACATTAGATGCAGAAAATGGGTTTCCACACAGGAGGGAGATGGAAATCCCTGGTAGATGGTGATGGGGTATCCAAGGATGACACTACACCAGGCGTAGAGTGCATACCAGCATACTAGAAACTCCTGGAGAGACTGAGAAAGATTAAACTGATAAAATACTTGATGCATCTCAGTATCTTAAGAGTTAGACACCTAGCAAAGAGCAAGAGATTCCTCCTAAAACAGACTGAGAAAAGAACTGAGAGTAAGATCATTTTCTTTGGAGACCCCAGAAAATGGGAGTGAGGGACTTAGAATATTGAGATGGAGAGGTGGGAAATGTTGACATAAGGGTGCATTATTGAAGTCCTTGCTGTGTAGACAATGGCAGCTTGATTCTACCAGGTCTTTAGAGAAGCTGTGCGATAGCTCCCATGATGGTCTCCTGAAAGACAAGTGCCTGGGGCATTTATCTACAGACTCCCACTCATGGTTAAGTTGTTGCTGGGGCATTACGGGCATGCTCCCCTGAAGTGTACTGTGTGCATCTGGCCAGGGAGGCTCTTTAAGTGTCAGAGAAGGCCCTGAAGCAGACAGCTGAAAGAGCAGGCAATAAATCTGAGCCTATTTAGAACTATCCACCACCTCTAAAATCAGAGGTGGGTGGAGGGGATGTTTCTCAAGGTCCTCAAGGTCTTTCAGTCAGTGGTGGTATCGTTTCTAAGCAAAAACTTAGTCAAGACTGGAGTGCCTGGGTGGCTCAGTCAGTTAAGCGTTCAACTTTGGCTCAGGTCATGATCTCCCAGCTTGTGGGTTCAAGTCCCGCACCGAGCTCTGTGCTGACAGCTTGCAGCCTGGAGCCTGCTTTGGATTCTGTGTCTCCCTCCCCTGCTCGTTCTCTCTCTGTGTCTCAAAAATAAAAGCATTAAAAAAAATCTTTTTAATCTAAAACTGAAATCTGACCTCCCCCCAAAAAACAAAAAACAAACAAACAAAAAAAAAACTGGCAGTTAATTAACTCCAGGAAAGCAAAATGGTGTATAGAAAAGAAAAATAAATGATGTCCAGTGTTTGAATGACATAACCTTGTTAACAGCAAATATGAATCTAATCAAAATTACAGCATACTTGTAGTGGGAGAGGACATGGTGTTATGGATATAAGGTAGAAAAATATCTAGATCCTCATCTTCCATAGTAGGAAATCAATGGATAATACCTAAAAATTAAATATCAAGAAATAGATGGGTCACCTGGGTGGCTCAGTCAGTAAAGCATCTGACTCTTGGTTTGCAGCTCAGGTTATGATCTCACAGTTCGAGTTCAAGCCCTGCATCAGGCTCTGTGCTGACAGCATAGAGCCTGCTTGGGATTCTTTCTCTCCCTGCCCCTCCCCTGCTTGAAGTCTCTCTCTTCTCAAAATAAATAAACACTTAAAAAAAAAAAAATCAAGAAATAGCTTATGTGGGGCACCTGGGTGGCTCAGTCAGTTAAGCATCCAACTCTTGGTTTTGTCTCAGGTCATGGTCTCAGAGCCATGAGATCAAGCCCCACGCCCACCTGGAGTCAGGCTCTGCACTGGGCATGGAGCCTGCTTAAGATTCTCCCTCCCTCTCTGTCTACTTCTCCCTCCTCCCTCTCCCTCTCTCTCCCCCCCCACCTCTCTCTCTCAAAAAAAAAAAAATCTACCTTGACAAAGGAGCAAGTCAAGTGTTTTCATTCTCACAACTTGTTATTTATAGAGATCCTAATCATTTTCCTAAACCTAGAAAACAAAGAAATTTTTAAAAGATTAAAAGATTTGGAAAGGAATAAAAATACCATTTGAAAAAAACTGTTAGGAATCATGAATTTGGAAAAGCAGCTGGATGCATTGCCAGCATTATACACATCTGTATACCTGTAATAAAGAGAAGGTGAAATTTTAGGATTCCATTTACAATACAGAAAACTATCAAATATGTAAGAAAAATGAGATGCAAGCTCTGTATACTTGAAACTAACAAAACCTCAATGAAATTAAAGAGGACCTAAGTAAATGGCAGATGACGCCATGTTGATGAATTAGGTTTGATATTGCAAAGCTGCCAGTTGGTTTAAAGATTCTGTGTGATTCCAGCAGATACTTTTATGGAGATTGACAAATTGACTCTAAAATTACACAAAATGCAAAGGGTCAGGAATACTCATGACAAGCTTTTTGGGGTTTTTTGTTTTGTTTTGTTTTGTTTTTTAGAGAGAAAGAGCAGGAGCTGGGGAGACAGGCAGAAGGAGAATCTTAAGCAGACTCCATGCTCAGCGCCAGCCTGACAAGGAGCTCAATCCCACAACCCTGGGATCATGACTTGAGCCAAAATCAAAGAGTCAGACTCAACTGATTGAGCCACCCAGGTACCCCAGCTTAAGATAATCTTGAAGAAAAAAAAACAAACCTGGGAGTCTTAGGCTACCAGATTTCAAGAGATGATAAAGCTACTATAGCAGTTAAGATACGGTGACATTGGCATGAAGACAGACAATGAAATACAATCGTGAGTCCAGAAACACACCCACACTTACCTTGTTTTCTGACAGATACTGCCCTGGAGTGAAGGATAGCCTTTTCAATAAATTATGTTGAAACAATAACAGAATATCAAGGGAATCTTGACCGCTACCTCACACAACAAAAAGAAATACCAGATAGACTGTAAATAATCTAAAATATATACAACTATAATTCTTTTAAAATAAAACATCTTCACAAACTTGGAATAAGCAAAGATTTCCCAAACAGAATAATAAGACTTTGACCATAAAAGGAAAAGTTGGTAAAATAGACTTAATTAAAATACTCTGTTCATCTAAGGACACCTGTACAAGAAGGAAAAGACAAGCCACAAAATGGAAAAGAGACTTGCATTACATATACCCACAAAAGACCTACCTAGAAGACCCAAAGAACTTCCACAGATTGTTAAGAAAAAGGCAGATAGGGGCACCTGTCTGGCTGAGTCCATACAGCCCATGACTCTTGATCTCAGGGTTGGGAGTTCAAGCCCCACACTGGGTGTAGAGGTTATTTAAAAAATCTTTAAAAACAAAAAAGGCAGACAACACAACAGAAGAATGGACAAAAGATTTTGAACAAGCACTCTACCAAAGGTAACATCCAAGTAGTCAATAAATATACGGAAATGTATCCAACTTCCTTGGTGGTCAGATGAATACAAATTAAAACAACAATGCAGTACTTTTACACAACGACCAAAATGGCTAAAATGAAAAGGACAGACAAATATTGGTGAGATTGTGGACAAGCCAAGGCATTTATACTGCTAGTGGCAATGTAAAATGGTGCAGCACTTTGGAAAACAGTTTGGCAATTCCTTAAAAATGTTAAGCATGGATTTGCCACGTGACCCAGCAATTCCACTCTGAGGTATCTTCCCAAGAGAAAATGTGCACATAAAAACTTGTATGCAAATGCCCAAAACTGAATTCGTAACAGCCAAAAAGTGGAAGCAACCCAAATATTCACCAACTGGGAAAAGGGTAAACAAAGTATGTTCTATCCATGCAATGAAATACTATTCAGCAATGAAAAGGAACAACATGCTGATACATGCTACAATGCAGATGAACCTCAAGAACATGTTAAGTAAAAGAAACTAGTCACAGGGGGTGCCTGGGCAGCTCAGTTGGTTGAGTGTCTGACTTTGGCTCAGGTCATCATCTCGCAGTCCATGAGTTCAAGCCCCGCATCAGGCTCTGTGCTAACAGCTCAGAGCCTGGAGCCTGCTTCAGATTCTGTGTCTCCCGCTCTGTATGCCCTTCCCCCACTCATGCTCTCTCTCCTCTCAAAAAATAAACATTAAAAAAAAAAAAGAAAGAAAAAGAAACGAGTCACAAAAGATCACATATTATAATG